GTACCGCCCCCCCTCCTGACGTCCCGCCTTCCCCTCCCCATAGGATGGAACTTTCCCTCCAAACCCATGACAGACAGGTACCATCAGTGCTGTATGTAACAGCGATAATCGCAGGGAAGCGATCATCGCAAAGCCCCCATTTTCAGCCAGCTGATCGGCGGTTCCAAAATGGCCGCCGGGTTTTAAAAAATGGCCACCCACTGTTTTGCTTCGCTTTAGAGGCACCGAAAATGGCCACCGCAATGGAGGGTTTTTGCATAAGGTTAGTTTTTAAGCCCATAGGAACGTATTAAACGCGTTTTAATGCATTTTTATGGGCTTTTTACAATCGCTTAGCGATGAAATTGCTTAGCAGCGATTTTTGCTGCACCGATTAACATTGCTAAGCGAGGCACCACTGTATACTCCTGCAATGGTGAAGGGATCCCTTTTGTCCTTTGCTGACGGCAACATTTGTTGTATTACTGTAGTGGGCCTGAACATTGTTTATAGGTTATGTTTTTTCAACAGTTCCCCCATGTGGTCCATGAGCCCTTTGATGTATGGCAGAAATATTTTGTTTGTGTTCACCCAGTGCATTTCATGGCTCAGTGTGGATGGAAAGGTGAATTGTCCAGTTCTCAATACAACACTCAAACTGTACTGGTTCAAAATTGTACAAATGCTCTTCCTTCAGATTTTCTTATTTTAAATTACACCCTTGACTATCCATCAAAAAGACCTATTGGTTTAAATTTCAACTTACTTTATAATGTAATAATGAAGATAGGTGCTGGCCAGCCTCCCCATTTTCATCTTTTCTCAAGTAATAAACCATTCAAGAGGTACTAAGAAACTTCAGTCAAAAAAGGTTCTTTTTTCAGTGGATTTTTATAAACCAAGAATCCTGCATTCATTTGCACTAACACATATACATAGCCATGCTAGTAAAATGGATCTGTCTTTCAAGACATATTTTCTTAGCAACTGTATTAATAATGCTAATTTTCTTAGCACTCCTCCTGGTATTTTATCATTTTTTATCAAATCCATCTTACTATAATTTCAAGTACTGAATATTTATTCCCATAGAAGAATTCTACAACATACACAACACAAATGAATAAATGTGAAATATCCATTGAACACTACTTTGTGACCCATTACTTTTTGGTTGAACTCAAAGTATCTAAATGGAAGATCCATGCAAGCATTAGATTATTGATATTATTTTTGAAATAAAGCTGTTTACATTTATCTCAATTTTCACAATACTGTAACCTTCTATAACATTATTGTAAAGAATACAATAATTTACAATAATTTAAGTACTGTATTTTATTATTTTGTAACTGCTATATTGTAATTATTATTGTAGATAATTGTATCATTGTGCTGTAAAGAATTGCAATTTACAATAATAAATAAAATTGCACATCAGAAGTGTGATACAATTATAAGTCATTTGAAACTTGAGCATTCAAACATACTAAATGTTTACCTATACATGACATTTTCAGAGGGACAGTCACACAACAAAACCAGTAAAAGATTTTGGGTCACAAAGAGTGAGAAATGTACAGTATTTGGAAGTAAACTTGGATGAGCCAAAGCCTATTCCTCAGATGTACGAAGGGATAATCAAAGTGGATAGGTGCATATAAGGTAACTATAAAGACAAAGGGAGGTAAACCTCATATATTACCCTCATGCAGTATTAAGGCTTGATGGTGTTTAATATCATCTAAACATGCTGATATTAAACACCATGAGGGTACATATCACCTCTAATTTTCTCACTGCCATTGGCAAGAGAAGTAGAAACTAAAGTATGTTTCCTCCAGCAGGGAACAGTAAGGAAAGCAGCCAAACTTTCTCAGGCTCAGCCAAGAGCAGCTGCTAATAACAGAGAATCTCCTCCTCCTCACTGGCAACAGCTGTCCACAGGGACAGAGATAAATTTCCTCCAGGAAATGCAAAAAGTACTTTCCAGTGTTTCCCTTTATTGTGCCCTGTTCTACACTGCTATCCTTTTTTGGTAGCCCACGAGCTTACATGAGAAGTTTAAGCTCAGTATTAGCTTGGCTTTTCCTTTCTCCACTGCCCTGGTGAAAGTTACTGACTAAATTTCCTCTATTCTCTCCAGTTGATCTCTGCTTGTAATCCTCTTCCAGTTTTCTTTGTATCTAGAGCTCATTTCAGAATTCTCAGCAATCAGAGTTCGGCTTATATGTGACCTTTCTCTTGGACCCACCACCTTCACAGGTGTATTTGATGGGAACACAGGAGAGGGCCTTCTGTGTCGCTGGTCCAAGACTTTGGAACTCCCTCCCACAGGCTGACTCCATCTTTGTTATCATTCCACAAGCAGGCAAAGTCCTTTCTCTTTAGGCAAGTGTTCTCTCAGTCACCAGCTACCTGTGTGTGAATTTTAGATGGATTGTTATGCATTACTGCTTTGACTGAATTTTTAGTACTACTTGTATTTCTCAAAGTGATATTTTAAAAAATATGGATATTTATTGATCTTTGCCTTAACATTGCCTATTAATAATGTAAGATGCTTCCTTACTCATTGTTCATAGTTTTAAATTCCATGGGATGTTAGGCTGATTCAATCTCTGTTCAGCTTCTGTTGGGCACCTAAAATTTTATTATTCCAAAATGTGTTTGGTCTCTAGGACAATGTGACGATTGCCCACATCACTCATGCCATTCATATTCATGAGCATGAACCTATGAGAGGACTGGAGAGGCAGAGTCAGCACCTACATGAGGCTTGGCAGGAGCAGGAGGAGTCAGATAGGGCTGGTTAGTCAGAGAGAGAGGGAACAGATACGGAGACACATAGAACTGGTTAGGAAAATAGGTAGAGAAGTTAGTAACGATATAGCAAGAGAAAAGAAGTATGTACTGAGAGAACTGTTGATGAATTGCTTATGTATAATGTGTATCTGAAGAACTTCTGTTATTATTCAACCTGCTTCACTCCAATAAATAAGTTCTGTTCTGTTCACAAGACAAGTGTTCTGACAAACCTCATTTATATTGTGGATTGAGGTAATCCACTGGTGGCAGCGAGAACAAAACATGACGTGAGCCTTTGTGAGGGAAAGACAAGAAGGGGCCACAAGGGCAAACACCACAGACTGTTTTTCTGAATAGCCCTTAAATTCAGTTTTACTCCTAATTAGAGTAGATTCACTGAAATGAATTGGCCTCTCAACAGTAATGCAAAACCTATAGATTTCAGTAGGCCTACTGTAGTTGGCACTAAAATTGGATTTAGCCTGGGGATCCTGTTTCAAAGCTAAGCCTGCTCATTAGGGTCAAAAGGCATGCTTTTCATACCAGAGAAGTCCAAAGGATGTATTTTTTTCATTAATTAAGCAATGAGATAAAAAGGCAAGAGGAAAATGAGAAAATAGGTATGTCAGATTCTGGAAGCTGAAGATGTATACAGATGCAATATGAAGCCTTTGTCAGAGATATCCACAAATCATTACTTTCTGTAGGTCCACCAATAATTTCTGTTTCTTCCACAGATGTACAAAAGATGTAAACACATTTCTGCCTGAAGATCAAAATAACAGATTATAAAAAACTTCCTTGTAATTCTCCTGCTTCCAGGTGCTATGAGACTAATTTTACAATCACTACAATGTACTTCTGCTTTAGATATTAAACTGATATTAATCCAGAATTAGATAATGATTTTTCCATTACAGCTTTTCAGACAGATTTGGAGTAGTTAAATAGAATTGGTTTTGCATCTGCTTCTTTGTTTTCTGAAAAGACCTGGTATTCATATTTAGCATTTTCAAAGCAGATGATAGTCAAAGGCACTTATTCAGTTTGAAAAGTTGAACTGGTAGATAAGCACTATCTAGTTTAATACACATTATGGTGCTAGGTATATCACACAGAATCTTAAGCACTATCTAGTTTAATACACATTATGTAGTTTTTTGATGAAATCCATACAGACATGCAACACAAAACAGGAAAACATTATATCATCACTGTAGAACTGTGGAGCTGGAGAACTGAACTCTCAACTTCTGGCTCCACAGCCAGATATATTGCCACTATAGGGGAGGATAGGTAAGCATGTAAGAAGTATAAAAACATTGCTAAAGAAATATTTCCCTAAAGTTGATGTGATACAACTGGCTATACTTTTGTAAAGGAATATTTTCCTCTGGGTTGTTTATGTCTTACTTTTGTACTGGAATATTTTCCTCTGGGTTGTTTATGTCTCTGAGAGCCCTTTTTTCCTTTAAAAAAATTCATTACATCGATGTTTTGGCAGCATTTCCTTGATGGGTACAAGTTTCTCTGCTATGTTTGTGCCCCTTGCAGCAGAGAAACTCGTAGTCAGGCTTTGTTTTCATTGCAGCTCTACTGCAAAGTCCCCAAGAGGAAAACATGAAAGGCCTCAGGGGAAAGAGTGCCACCAGCTGGAAGGATCCAAAAATAAGCACAGAAGTTGATGACATAAGTTTTCCAATGCACCAACACTCTGCTTGCTAAATTAAAAAAAAATATAACAGGACATACAGGCAAACAACATTACTGCTGGAAGCAACACAAGGTAGTTTGCCAGAAAAAGTATTGGTAGAGCCATGCGCACAGGATACCTGTAATTGTTGCATAATACATCCCACGGGAAAAAAGCAGAAGCCTCCTGGCAGGTGGGATTTAATGCAGAGATAGCATGGAGGGGGAGCAAAAGATTAGGTTGGTAATGGCCGTGCATCTTCTGAACACAAAAAAGTAACTTGAATTTCAAGAGAAGTACCTAGGAAACATTTTGCACATGTCACTGCAGCTTTGCTTTAATATTTCTCCCATTCTCCAGATGATGCAATGCCTGATCCTACATGATTCCCTGACTCTTCATATTTTTTTTGTTCTTCCTCTAAAAGTGATGCCTTCCCACCCACCCCAAGACTTGTTCTGGAGAGAGGGATTAATAGTATGGCAGTTCCCATGGAGAGTTAATTTGCATGTTAGAAGCTCCCAGTCAGAATCCTTGTAATTAGGTCTCAAAATTAGGTTTAAGAATGTTAAAAATTGTTCCAAAGGCAAAGCTATAGCAGAAGAATTAATTTAGAGCTCTCTTTCTTAGAGATGCAGTGCAACACAGTGCTGGGGCAAAACTTTTCCACCTGATCAAGACTTTATCTTTTCTTCCTTGAATAATGTAACTAACAAGGCTATGTTTTCCAAAGTAAGTATTTAGTGAAACAGATGCAGTACTGCAGAAGTCATTAAAATATTAAGTAACTTTACTACAAGCATTGAAGAGTGTTTAATAGTAATATGTTTGTGATTAGTTATCAAATGTACAATATATTCAGTAGGGTTTTAAGGAAAATGCTTCATTGGATTTTGATGGATTCTCTCCCCAACCCCACCATTTTACTAGGAGCAGCCCAACAACTATTTATTCTTAATGTAAATTAAAAACAGATGTTCACTACTATTTAATATAGCCTTTTTGAATTATTTCTGCACACAACTATGTGGAGAAAATAATTAGGAAGGAATTATAGATTTTTTTTAAAAAAAGCAATGCTGTGCATATTATTTTGCATAAACAAAATACAAACACAAAAAGACTTAAGCAGCAGAGCTGTGAACTCCATTTTCCAACAACACATATTTTTGAAAACTATATCTCAGGGATGTTGGCAAGTCTTTGAGTCTGACTCCCAAGTCCAAGTCCCTGACTCCCAAGTCCAAGTCTTTGGTACCAAGTCCCAAGTTCAAGCCCCATTAAAAACAAGCTTTTTTTGCCAGAAAAAAAAGGAGGAGTGGGTGGGTTCTGAGTCACAAATCAAGTCCGAGTCATTGAAAAAATGAACCAAGTTGAGTCACCGATGCAACTTAGGTCTGAATTGACAGTGAGTCCCGTGACTCAAGTTCCCATCTCTGCTATATCTTTGAAGGACTTCTCACCATCAACCTGTACTTCTGCAAAACATATGTCACAAAAACATGTGGCACTGTGTTTCTTTCTGCGAGTTTCTGAGTTCATTTCTCTTGCTCTGCATACCCTCTAAACGGCTTCTAGAAACAGCCTATATAAATGGCAACCTGCAAGTAGTTAGGTCTGTTGTACCAAACAAGAAAAACATGTCAGCTTCTTCTATACAATTCAGATGCATCATGGATTGTTAGTAACTTGAGGAACATATGCATAATCTAATTAAGTTTTTAATTAAATGACTTTGGTACAAAATTAATGGCTTCATACATTTCATAATAAAAACCCGAATACTAATGCTGGTGCAAAATCCAAAGGAAAAATATATTACCTAATTACCATGTCTTAATTATAGAGCAAAATATTAAGATGGCTGTAAATTGTTACAGCTTGTCATCCACACATAGTTCCCATCTACAACATTTTACAGTAAAATTTAAAACTGTCTAAGAGGATGTTCTGTTTGCATTTTCAGCATGCAAAATTTGGGCATTCAGGATTAGGGTCACAGTTTATATTTAAAAGATATTACCTTATCTAAGAAACAGGGACATGTTGGTTTAAATTTTTATCAATAAGGATTGGGATTCAGGTAATTCAGAAACATACAGGAAAAAATTATTCTAAATGTTGGGGGTGGGGGAGAGAGAAATGGCTTCCTTTTAACTTGTCTTCTTTTTAATTATGGGAGAGATAAATATAATTTTGCCGTTTCCCTTTTAAGTTTTACTGCTAAATGATCTGGAAAGACACTGCAAAGCACTATAGATCATTGTAGTATCATGAGGAGAATAGCAGTTTCCAGCTAGTCAGAATAAGGCACCTCTCACTAGTTACTTACTCATAGTTCAGATCTGTTATCTGGCTGTGGAGTCTGAAGTCAGGAGATTGACTCCCCACTTTCCCTCCTGTGAGAAGAGCCAGCCTGTCTAGCTTGGGGCAAGCTTTACAGTCACAGAGTGTCCCCAAAGAAGGCACTGGTAGACCAATTCTGAGTACTCTAAACCTAACAAACCTCGAAAGTGTTGGCATATGTCAGAAATGACTTGGTAGCACATAATTATTGTAACTAATTGTCATATTGCTGATATAATCAGACTATGACATCCTGGCAAAAAGAAAAAAAAAAGAAAAAAGGATGCTACCACAATTTTCATTGATATTGCAGTGTCTCCCACTCTCAAACATTTGAAATCATTTTGCCCCATAGCTCCAGCATCAATCAAGTGGCCAACCAGTAACCTCCTGAAAATTGAGGTGACACTTTGGGAAAGCCATTGTGACGCATCGTTAAAGCTTTATCATGCCAAAGTTGTACAGATCTGTTCAATGCTTAAATAAATTTGCACACTCAGATCATGCACAGAAAAGTAAATGTTCCATCAGATTTTGACTCCTAGGCTGACAAATGATCATCTGCAAAAAGAAGTGACTGTTATACCTCTTGTTGGAATTTTCTGAAATATGCATGTGAAATCCGACAGGAAAAAGTAGTTAGTCCACAGCCAAACTGCCAATTCTATGACACACAGCAAGGGGAAAAATAGCTATGTACAGTTACTAATGAAGATGACAAGTACACCCTATGCTTTAAAAACCACACTGAGTTAAAGCAATGCTGAAACTGGTAACAATCAATTACATAACAGATGCACCATTTAAGCCTGTCTCATTTTTTGTAAATTCTGCAGTAGCAAATCCTTCCATTATAAACATGAGAATATCCAACAAAGTGAGGAAAAAATATTCCAGGTATCATTTGTAATATGGACAATATTTACTCTGAAGATGGGCTATGAAATGCTTTAATAGAGGAGGAAAATATTCGTGAAGCAGAGCAACTATTTTTATATTGTGACAATATTACACTTTTTGAGCCAAACGTTCATTCAAGCCTACATAGTGTTACCTTGTATTTCAATTCACTCTTGGTAAAATTGGGCACCATTATGACCTTCTCTGTAATTCGTCCGACTTGGCAATCTATCTTAATATGGTCCAGCACCAATGGTTTTGTTGCAGTCCCTTTCAGGAGAAAGATATGACTTGTGCCATCTGCTTCATTCTGTAATATAAGCTTCCCCTGTTATAATGAAAGAGGTCAACATTCATTACAAATACTTTGTGCCCAAGTCTAACAGCCAGCTTAAGAAGAAAGACTAAGGCCTGAATGTGAATTGAGAAAGTATATTTTTACTAATGTGTTCTCATCTATACTTCTTATCAATGTGCTCACAAATTCAGTTATTATTACTGTACTTAATATCTGAAAAGGCAGGGGCAACAACTTCAGGAGGTCCAGAAACTGTGCAGACCCATTCTTGTGCTTTGGAAGGCTAACTCCACTCCCACAATCCCCACTTCCCCAAAAAATGTCTTATAATTTTTTTTCCTTAATTGAAAAGTTTCCCTTGTACTTTTAGTAGCCAAAAAATATTTTTAATTAAATGAAGTGGGATGATGTAGGGAGACCCAGGGATGCTGGAGGTCCTTAAAAACAGCAACGCTGTTGTCTTTTCTCCACCTGGAGGATAAAATGTGACTTACTGAGCTTCTTCTTTTCCCAAAAACATTTTTTTAAAAATCAGAGGTGCGAGAATGCTGGGGGGTTGGAGTGCTTAGGGGGTGCATTTTGGATTCCAAAGGCTCCATCCATTTTGGACCCTGAAGGCTCCATGAGTCCACTCATCCATGTTCTAGAGCAGGCATTCTCAACCTTTTTTTCCTACAGCCCTTTTAAGAGGTTTTTTTCAGGTTCCAGCCCCCCCCCCCCATCAAACAAGAAAAGCCTTTGGCTTTGTGCAAATAAGGAGACAACAAGAATAAATAATTTGTGGTTCCTTTCATATGCGCCACATTGAGAATAGCTGTTCTAGAGCTTAATATAGCATAGTACAAAATCTCAAGTAATCATATCTTCAATTAAAGAGTGCAACAGTTCTATTTTAAGAAATCAAAATGCAAGAGCTAAATCCACTTATTAGTCCCACCTAGTAGAACCACTGAAAGGATGGGACTTGTTAACACTTAATGCAATTCCCATTAATTTAATAGGTCTAATTTAGCTGGGACTAATAAACAGACATAGCCTCAGGTTAGTATCAGCTTCCTGCACTGTTCATTACAGTGAATGGTGACAACTGTTTCATATCTAATACATTATGCACAACTGTTCTGAGTCTCTTGCAAGAAAGCACTTTAAAGTGTAATAAGCAAATTTAAAACAAACAAATACTAGTTAGGGCATCTCAGCAGAACATATACTCTTCATGGACATTTAACAAATACTACCACCAAACAGGGCAAATAATAGATTACCATGTAATAAGTTAATTAAGTTATTACATGTTATTATATAATAAGTTAATTAAGTTATTAAGTTATTATATCCAATAAGTTAACAGTCACAGATCAAGAGCAAACCCTTATTTATGATCCTGACTTGAAAAAAGTGCAATGATTCCTGGAAACTCAACCTGGATGACACAATGAAGGCCAAGCTGCTTGTTCATTTAACGACCTCTGTGAAGCAGAAGATATAAAGGGAACAGGCACTACCACAAACTCTTCAAGGTCTCAGGCATATCACTATATACAGTGTATGGACAATTTGGTAATTACCAGCTAGAGATTACTGCATTGTTCATGAGAAATTGAAACAGCAAGATTTTTTATTTTTGCTTACTTAAAGTTAGCAGAAGATTCAGGCTAGAGATTACTGCATTGTTCGTGAGAAATTGAAACAGCAATTACACACAATCCTACATAGCTAGTACTACACCAGGTAATACTATGAAGCTAAGATTTTTTATTTTTGCTTACTTAAAGTTAGCAAAAGATTCACACATTCATTTATTTGGAAGTCACGCAATACCCTTCAAGCATACACTTGTACTGTATTTTTTTTATGGATATGTTCAGCCAGAATGATAGTTGTATATAAAAGCTATTCTCACATACAGAAAGTGAGACTTAATTCTCTTACCTTAGTAACACATTCAGCAGTCGGCTTGAACGTGAGGGTGTAAGAAGTTGTTTCACCTGGGGCAACATATATAAGAGGAGGGCCAAAAAACCAGCACCCCTTTATAATGGCATTAAGTTTCCAATCTTGTTGACTCATGTTAGTCTGAAAGAAAGGCATCCCAATGACATTTAAAGAGGCACAGCATAGTACTGGAAGACGGCACAGTGTAATGGATAAGAAGAAATAAGATGTAAAATAAAGGTACTCATGTTTTCTAATATGTCTAACTAGTATATTTATTAGTATTATTTCTATTGCAAAATAACAAACAAAAAGACCTTGTTCTGAAAGAGTGTACAGTCTAAATATCAATAGCAGGGAAAGTAAAACAAATAGGAGAGAGAGAGACAAGTACAGCAAGGAATAGATCTAAGTAAATGCAATTACATGTATTTGAACTTGACTATACCTGGGAGTGAGCATTAAGCCAAAGAACTTTTGAAAAATATAGGATTTGCTAAGTAGTAATACGTAATAAAATATGGGTTAAGTGTATTAACCCAGTGGTCCCCAACCTTGGGCCTCCAGATGTTCTTGGACTGGAGTTGAAGTCCAAGAACATCTGGAGGCCCAAGGTTGGGGTCCACTGTATTAACCCATGAGTCAAGTCATAAAGGGAGTTTCTTGGATCCAAAAGTAAGCCGACTAAGCTAAGTTACCTTTGGTCAAAGAAACCTACCGTAAGTTTACCGCAGTTTACTGTCTCCTCCTTCCTACACAGAATCAAGCCCATCCCAAACAGTATATCTTAATACTGAGCAGTGGTTCTGAATAATATGGGATAGGTCGTGGAAAAAAGCTACCTCCGATTGGGGAAAAGCTGTATATTTTGTAAGTTTGACCATTTTGTCCAGTTTTCCCCATCCACGCCATTCACCCAGTAATCACAGGGGCTCTCCTGACTTTCCAAAGAGGGTTTTTAGGGAATGCAGGGTGCTGCAGAAGAGGAGACGGCAAAGAATCTTTCCATAAATTTATTGCAGCACAAACAAACAAAATTTTTACTGGCGAAACGTCAGGAAGAACAACCTTCAGAACACGGCCAAAGAGCCTGAAAAACCCTCAACAACCATAATTTTTACTATTTTAGAGTAACTATACACTTGAACCCAAGAGGTATGCATGGTTTTCCCAGTAAAACAAAGTAAATGCAGGAAGAGTTAGCCCATTTTCCATTTATATACATATGACTTGCTTTACCTAAGTCAGTATTTTAAACCATTAATGATCAGCTTTACAGTATTTAATTTTCAATAAGAAAAATGGACGTACTATTGGGATGTCTTGTATCACGGCCTGATATGCTGGAGTTACGAATTCTAGTTCAGCCTCAGCAGTATCTGTATTCACCACACATTCAATCCTAAAGAGCCGGACATCATATTTGGATTGCAGGAGAATCTGGCAAGGATACCGCCCAGGACATTTGGGTATAAACTTTATAGGAAGCTCAACTGCATCATGTTCTGTGGGGTGGGGGGGAAATACAAGTTTTAGTACTGCGCACATAAAATAGTTTGTTTGTTTTGCAAGATTTAAATGGATTAAGATATGATTAAGACAATATGGTTAGCTCCCTCCCTATTCTCATTAACAATCATAACTGTATGTGTTCCAGTCAATTTTAGTTTACAGTGCCCCATTCTCAGGTTTTCTCCGTACACAGGACTCAGTAGTTTACGCCTCCCTTCTTCCAGAAGCACTATGGGGATGTGTAACTAGCTCAAGGTTACATAGGCTGGCTCTTCTGGGAGGCATAATAGGAAACTGAACTCTAACCCTCTGGCACTACAGCCATGTACCCAACTCATGTGCTTCTGTTCTCATTACTTGAATTTTATACGGTTATTAAGTTATCCGCTTTGGTCTGGGACTAGTATTGTACTGTAGTTTCACTTAGGTGAAAGTTGTTCCTATTTAGAAGGGATTAAAAAAAATTCTAGAAATCCGCACACAGCTCAGCGCTTGAAAATGTTAAGTTCCCAGCATGCACAACAGAGATCAATGCATGACATACTATCATAGTATAGGTACCAAAAATATAAGTAACTTCTTAAAGGGCATTTTGTCAAAGCATCCTCATGGACAAAGCCTACTTGCTTAACTGCACCATCTACAGCATCACCTCTAAGTTTGCTACAAACGAAATGATGCAAGAGGTGGATCACAGCTTTTGATTCTTTTATTCTCTTCCCATAAATCTTACAGAGTATATTTTAAGCAATGTTGAAAAAGTTAAAAGGACTTTGGAGTACAAATTCAGACATATTTGTGAATTCAATATAAAATGAGATGTGATGAGCAAGATCAGACATTGCAATACTCTGCAGTTGGTTTTAAAAAAACCCAAACCTCTAAAAGCAGCTGTCGGTGCAATGGCCAAATCATATCAGGCTTCTGGCACACATCAGAAGCTATTATTTGTCCTACACAGAAAAACATACAGGCATTAAATTACTGTATAATGGCTGCCAGTAACATCTACACTGGTTAGTTATTATTGTGTTATAAAATTGTTTTTAGTGGTGAATGAAATCCTTCACAACAAACATTTACAAATAAATGGATACCATAGTTTCTAGACTTTATATTTTCATGATATGGACACCTGTTTCTTTCAGAAGGCTCAAGTTCAGGAAAGGAATAACAAAGCATTATATTATATGCCTCCAACATTACCAGGCTATCAAAGAGATTATAGATTGCACCTCAGGTTCAAACTTCTCTGAAATAAATTAGCTTGTTCTTTCATAGAGGCAAGATTAATGACCTGCTAATTTATGAATTATTGCCTCTTTTCTGTTTTGTCACCAAGTTATTATCCCCACTGGCTATTTTCCACAGGAACGCCCCACATTTGTCAATTATACCGGTAATAAAGCTTACGTATTCCTGGCTCATAAACATATCTTCTATGAATAAGACTGTAAATATCTCTTATCATTCATGCAAAACACAGGAGTTTAAAAACATTTAAATTAAAAGACACTGATATTTGATACATAGTTGAAATAGTCATTACTTCAACAGATAACTCACTACATTTCTTTGGATGGAAATATTAACAATTCTAACATTCACTGCACCTTCGTACACCCTACTCCTTGCATTATTTTTCTAAGTGGTTCAAACAGCCTCTATCTCCCCTTGTGGGAGGCAATTCATCATGCTTTGGGCCTTTTTCACACCTCTGGTCCTCCTCCATTATGTGCATTTTAAAAAAATCTGGCTACTATAGGGAGTGAGGGGGCTTTTTCAGTTTTTTAAAGCTTTTTAACAAGAAAAATACATTTGGAATGGGCAGGGCAAGGGAAGAAGAACAGAAACCTCAAAGTCCAGGGATAAGTTGTGCAGACCTCAGATCTCTCGATGGCCCATCTGTTTTATCTAATAAACTTTCATTAGCATTATTAGTCTAATTTTGCTGCATATGCTCTGTACTTCCTATGTGTTCATATGATTTTTGCAGACATAATATTGGATCCAGGATCTGTTTTCTGAAGGTGAAAGCATTCCACGTGAGGAAGGCACCCACACCCAACATGACCAGCCTTTGCCCAACACTACAGCTCAACTAATTTAACAGAACATCCAAATCTTCGTAACATTTCTAGGGCTATGGAGGGAACTAATTTAACAGAACATCCAAATCTTTGTAAGATTTCTAGAGCTGTGGAGGGAAGACTGTGAAAAGAACAAGAGACATTTACTTTCACCGTTTTGACTTCTTGCAGGTAAATATGAATCAAATACATTATATTTTACAGGATTTATGACACACCATAAAGGCTGCTATTCATCAACACATGCATTCTTTTAGTAATATCTAGATATGCACAAGTACCCAGTTCAGCAGCAAAAGGGGAGATGAGCACAACAGTGACTGTTCCTCATTGTAAACCATTCTGTTCCATCACAGAGAAGGGTTTGTTACCAGTGTCGGCAGTTCTATAAATACTACACAGCAGTACTTCTATTGTATAGATTGTCACTCCTTCCAGCAAGGGTGATTTACATACTAACCAGTCCTCCAAAGGTACTGGTGTCATTGTTGCATTGTTGCACAATCTCAACTACACCCATATCATAATACTTACCTGCGTGATTCTGTGTTTTGCTGCAATACTGCTGGGCACCTCTTTCTAATGCAATCAAATTTGTATGTGGCATGTAATTCATAACAACTGTATACTGTCACTAAGCTGAGATCTGAACACTGATATTCGTCAAAAAGTTTAGAATTTAGAACGTACAGAAGTTAGAAAAAATATAGTGGTATATTATTAACAGAAGAACAGATGGTTTCAGGGAAGACCCTTGCCTTCTATCACACTATATATGCAAAAGAAAATATTCTTGAACATGACATGCTTTTAAAAAAAGAAACAAAACAGGAGCATGATAACAGCATGTTGGAGAACACGTTTGAAGCTCCAGGAAATTACTTGGAAAGAAAAGATGTTTCTGATTAAACACTGAACAATTGTCTGAGGCAAAATTTATAAAGAGAAAAGAAGTGATGACAATGAGTTGTTGAAAATAAGTCATATTTTAGAATACACACATATAGAGATATTCAGGAAATTGTTTCTCCTACATAGTGTTATTAAACATGTAAATATTCATGTCTCCTAAACTGAGTAGTGAAAAAATGTGTCAAAGTTAGGTCTGAGCAAGCATAAAAGTCACCATATTATGAGTGATTTGCCACCCAATGTAATAGATTTGGGATACTGAATCCTTTTGAGTACTTTATACTGAAAAGTTTATTGGAGGATATTTGACTTGTGGGTCTGCCTGTTCTATTTACTGTCAACATAAACAGTGAACACTATATCATATTGTGTAACCTACTAATGTTCACAAATACATGCTAAAATCTTTATAATGTAAAATTGGATCCACTTGGTATGTGCAGCTGCTCATATTGCTAGCTGTTCATAAGGCAACTGTATAGGCAGATCATCATAAACTGAGAAACCACCAAATATATCTTAAACAAACCACTTTGCACACAATTTATGGGTGGTGTAGTTCAAATCTTCAAAAACTAAAGTGATGGTGAGTCATAGAAATGGTTGTATGTTGAGTGCTAACCAACTACTATCTGAAAAATGGACCACCTCAGCTTTACAATAATGATAGGAAAATGAAATTTTTGCACTGCCACTCTGACTTCAGCTTTGATGCTTTCCATGAGAAGGCACCACTGCCTTATCTTGTACTAGGCACTGATTAAGTCGACTAAAATTACTTAGTATTTAGCAAAAGCAGAAATTTAAATTGATCAGCTTATGAAACTCAAATATTTACTTATTTAATAAAACAATCTAGAAGAAATGTCCTGTGAGCCACTCAACAGCATAGCTGTCTCTGTGCCCCAATAAACATATCTATATTGTGCTTATTGTTAACTATAAAATACTGAGTAGCCTTGTGTTAGCTGAGACTCTAAAACTATTGGAGTAAAGATATGAAGATTAAAATGATTTATACCATTTTTGTCTATGGGTTTAACCCACTGATGTTGGCATCTTCTGAAAGAACATGAACAACTTTTCTGTTATAATTGCAGAGCATTCTGGGGACGGGGATGTGGAGGAGTAAATGGCAAAATGAGGAATTGGAGAAAAGAGAATGGGAAAATGCTCTTACAGTCTGCAGCACTAGTATAAACTGAACTCCTGAACAAACTGCACCAGAGCACAGATTGCTACTCCAGTCCTCTGAAGATGCCGGCCACAGAGACTGGTGAAGCATTGGTAAGAACAACCTGCAGAACACGGCCAAAGAGCCTGAAAAACCCACAACAACCATTAGATCCCGGTTGTGAAAGCCTTCGCAAATACACTAGTAAATTGCTTCAGATTGTTTCCTCTGCTCCCCAAAATAGCAATGTACTTGATGTCCCTGTACAAGGTTTGTAGTAAAAGTTTTCAGTGGATCAGATGGTGTCTTTGATCAGGACTGGATGTACAAAACCCAAATAGATCATGTATAAATGGTTTCAGACAGTGTTTTAAAAACTGTGTATGCATGTAGTAATCAGGCGTCTTACCTGTTCCTTCTGCAGACAAGTAGTCTTTTTGTCCTGGATGTATGGAATTAACTCTGCATGATGACAACACAGGTATATATACTTTTTCAGGGACTTCAAAACACTCAGGCATGCTTACTTCTACATGGAATTCAATATTTTTTTCGGAATATTGAGGACAGTTACGCAGAGCATCTTTCTGTAAATATCAGAAGTTTTCATTTCAACAATGCATGCAAGTATAAGAAAAATCCTCTGCTTTTAGTAATAAAAATTAAAGGTAAAGTTATGACACTTATTGTGGGTTCACTTTGGAAGAACTAAAACTTGTGGGTGGATATTTTTTTGGATATATCCTATTTTTCAGCACTATCCTCACTCCATGGTAGCATGTACAAGTAACGTTTCAGAGAATGTTAGCAACCAAAAAAAGAGACATTTATTTCATAAATACTTTTCTTCCCTTCCAGTGAACTCACAAGATCAGGTTTTTAAAAACACAAACCATAAGAATAGCAATTCAAAAGGAAATAGCAAAAATAAATAAATAAATAAATAAATAAATCAAATCAAAGGGAACTGAGTGTAGAACTTGAGGTAAACGTGTTCTTCCTATGATTAACTGGTTTTCTCTCATGAATATATTTCCGCAAAGATATGTCCATTAGCAATCACATTTGAAAATTACGCCTGTATTATCTCCCAATTATCACTTACAAAACAAAGCACATGAAATGTGTAGAAGAGGAAAATGTACTGTGCTATGTGCTGTTCAATGACAAAAGTCTTATTTTACCAAGGAGCACATCACTTCTAAAATGTATTATTTGTACCATCTAGGGCCTCTTATAAATACAGTGGTGCCTCGCTTAGCGATTGCCTCGTTTAACGATGTATTCGCTTAGCGATGAGGTTTATGGAGTGATTTTGTGCTCCGTTTAGCGATGTTCCCTATGGGGAAATTTTGCATAGCTATGTTCGGGACTTTGCCTCGCTTAGCGATGACAGTTTTAGGTCCCCTGTTTCGCTTAGCGATGTTCCATTTTCCCTATTTTTAAAGTGTCCTAAAATTTCAAAAACTGTTTTAAATGCTTAGATTCGTTAGAGCACCTTCTAAAACATGTGCAAACTTAATTTGGCTTTGTTCTGAGTCTTCGTTAATTTTTGGTGAATCCCCCCCCCCCATTGAAATGCATTGAACCCGATTTTGACAGCTGTCAAAATCAGGTTCGATGCATTTCAATGGGGGGAAAAATTCACCAAAATTTAACAAAGAGTCAGAACAAAGCCAAATTAAGTTTGCATACGTTTTAGAAGGTGCACTAACAATCCCAAGCATTTACAACCGTTTTTGAACCTTTTAAGACACACTTAAAATTGCAAAAACGGACATCGCAAAACCATTGGAATGCATTGAATAGGCTTCAATGCATTCCAATGGGGAATACATTGTTTCGCTTAGCGATGTTTCCTATGGCCATTTTCGCTTAAGGATGGTAATCCATTCCCATTGGAACGGATTCATGGTTTCCAATGCATACCTATGGAAAATGGTGTTTCACTTAGCGATGTTTTCCCATAGCTATATTTTTTTGGAACCAATTAACATCGTTAAGCGAGGCACCACTGTAGCTATATTAGACTGATGGAAAATACCACAGTTCTGACAGCTGATTAATCCAAAACATGGCATGAGAGTTTAATTTGAGCACATGGACAGGTTCATACAGAGGTTGAAAGAAAGAAATCAATTTCACCAACCCAGGACTGCTAGGTAGATGGCACTCTACAGTTCTGCATGCTTCAATTCATTTCACCTAAGCAGAACACGATTTAATTTGAGATAAAACAGGATGGAAATATTTTTGACAGAAAATTCTACTCCATATAAGAAAACAAAAATTCATATTTTACTATTTCCTTTTATTTGCTTGACTACAATTAAATGAAAATCCAGTTAATCGAATAGTAACCTACGAACTGAAATGCAAAATATTTGGGAGTGGCTTCTCTTTGAAGGGACAATTACTTTTTGAAAGAAGCCAATGGAATAATTACTTCAGTATAAGTCTATTGGTGTATTTCAGCAGAGAATGGTCACTAGTCAAGAAGTCAAAGTTTTCTTTCTTTCTTTTTTTTGTTATGCACAACAGCATGGTATATGACATGAAGTGCAGCAACTGACTTCTTAATTAGTTACAATACAAAATTGAGATATAACCAAGGGACTTGTGCCAGTGGCCATAAATAATAGGATACTGGCCATAATGTTTACAAAACAGTTGCTTCTGACACAAATTACTGATTTGGGTTTTCACAACTGCCTTCAGTGTTGGTGTCTCCTTGGGAGGATGGTTATAAAGATGATCATGATTAATCCACCTCAAAATATACTAATATACCACTGGTAGCTGAACTAGCCACCAGCAATGTGTGTTGTACACAGATAGTCCAAAGCTTTTCAGGCTGCTTTTAGTTTTTCCTGGAATGAAACAGACTTTCCTCTGAAGAGAACTGAACTGAAGCTAGATCCTGATTCAGGGTTCATCTGGGCTTCATGTTTCAGAGAAAGGAGGCAGAAATGGGCTTAGCACCTGTGCTTTGTTTTGGGGAAAGGGAACAGAAGTTGAGTTTGAACAACATAGAGGTTCACTTTCTACCTTTCCAGAACCACTGTTGGGGTTTTTGAAATAATGAGGGGGCATTACTGTATTCATTTATTTCACCGTAAAAATACACATACTTGATAATTTTCATATAATGTCAAATAATGAGTTTCAAACCATTTTTGCTCTTCTTCTGCTATTATCTCTGACCAGTGATGGGAAATCAGAATTTTAAAACAATTTAAAGCAGGAATGAGTACGTTTAGAGGACTTGAAGGCCCAGTTTGTGCCCCTTGCCCTCTCCCCAATCACAGACATTCCAAAGGTGTAAATTTTTGGCCAAAACAAGTACCTCTGTTTTCCGTTTTTATTTTTGGAGGAGGGGGGTTATGAACCCCAAAAGGCCAAGAAGTAAAAAATTGTTTCTCCTGGAAACTCCAGGAGTAGAAAATCGCAAATTGGGATAGTTCTTTCTTCAAATTTCTTTTTTCTAATAGAAGGTTCTCACAGACTTTTAGAGGACCACAGGAAACCAGCAGAATATATTTCACCCACAAAGCCTGAGCAGATTTTACAATGAAATGAACTCTCACATCCAGCTCTGAAAAGTTCTGCCTGAAACAGAACCTTTGATCTACAGGTTCCCTGAAAGTTCTTTTAAAAGCGACAAGTAATCTAACAGGTTAAAGATTTTCATTATTAACACCAACAAATTAAATTTTGGAGCTCACCAATAATTAATGAACTGCATCAATTTTTCACGCTAATATTCTAAGCTGCAATATGTTTACCTCAACTTTTGATAGTCCAAGAACTGCAACTGCAACTCGAACACTGCTACTCTCAAGTGTCCCTGTGACCTTTCTTCGCTCATACTCCAAAGCAGACATCTGTTGTTGTGCTGCAATAGCCAGAGCTTTCTCTCTAGCTTCATTGATTAGGGGGATTTTCAGCTTTTCCCGAAGAATATTAGTAAGGCAACACTTCAGAAAAAGAACTGGCTGCATTTCATTCTGGCCTGCAATAAACAAAGCCAATTCACAGCTGTCTGTACCTCTACATGCAACACTATTCAAAACAGAAAAATACAAGCTAAAGATTCATTAGAAATGTATACATGTGTGAGGCAATTTTAGCTTACTCTTCTGTTTTTCCAACAAATCCTAGCATGTATAAATTGAGAAGAAAGTGTTAAACAAAAGGTGTTTTATAATATTTGATAGAATGAATGAATAATTTATTACAAAGACCAGTAAAACCAAATCAATATAAAATAAATGCATATAATTGTAGTTTCGTAAAATCAATCAGAATTGTAGAATTTCCATTAAAACATGATAAAACAATCCCTACTTTCCAGTTATTAACATCGTAAATATTTGATATTTGATAGGGGGTTGCCTCATCTCCTCTCTTTTAACCTTCTGTGATAGAAACAGATCTTAATTTCCGTTTCTTTATAATATGGAAAAAAGACAACTTCTTTATTTGTGAAAGAAACAAAGACTTCTTATACATAACTTCTGCAAACTATCAAAATACCTGATCAAACTTTTTCTAGAGTTTAGACATATTAAAGGGAGGCAAATATATCACAGCTGCTAATTGGTGCATGATGTAAACAGACTTAATTGCTAATGTATAAGTAAATGTGCAATCGAAAATCATTTCCAGGAACACAGTTCAAATCACTGGTTTTGTTCAGAAGCATTACACAAAAACGATTTCTGAATGTGCTAAAAACAATGCAGTTAAATAGAGATGGGTCAAGTGAATTGCTGAGAGGCTTTATATGTCCTTTTGTCAGTGCTGTATATCTCTGACTCAATGGTGTTAAGTACTATAGCTATATTTCTCTTTCATATTGCTATGTCAGTATGTGACCTGTTCCGGAGACGCCTAGAGGCACATAGTCTCCATAAGCATCAATTCCTTGCTGACAGGGCTGTTTGGCCCTCATTAAATGGACATATAGGAATATGTCTGAATCACAACCCATGAAAGAAAGGTCACTTGTGCAGTATCTGTAGCTCTCAAGGTAATTTGCTGCATAGATCCATGCACAGTGAATGAAGGCTATCCAAGCCATTATCTTCAAGAACTGCAATTACTGATAAGTAACCTTTCCTTCTCCTTTGACTATCTGTGTGGATTACTAGCTTGTGAACATCACCAACCAGCAATGAATTCTGATGGTATCATGGTCATAAGATACTAATTGCACAAAGACAACAAATTTGATCTTTGTGGCCAAATTAAATAAATATTGCAGTATGTTTTTAAGGGCCTTTTAAAAGAACTAAGCATCCCAGGACTAAAATATTTTTTTAAAATTACAGCTTGTAGCTTTCAAAGATACTTCATCTTATACTTTGATAAATGGCCATAAACATATATCAAATCTCAGCACCGTCACATCTATGAACTGTCACTTGGCACAGCACTGGTGCAAACAGAATCATAACCAGATGCTGCCAAGAAAGAACTCGGAGACAATTTTGAAATAAGCTATAGTTGTTACTGACATATGGAAAATAAAAGAGGGCTGTTCATATTCTTATCCCTGGGGAGATCCAGCCCTTCCCCCCAAAACCGGCTGCTCCACTTATCAGTCACAACATGGCTATCATCCGTGTCAGCAGCCTGGTGGGTCTTTCCCCACCTCCCTGCCAGCCAACCACTCAGCAGCTGGGCTGAAGAATCTTCATCCCACCTCCTCGCCAAAGTGGATTGCTGTGGAAAGAGGTGAGGAAGTGCCGGCTAGGCTGCTTCTGCAATTGGCACTACAACATGGATGATGGCTGCACACACCACGTGGTGACCAGTGACTGAACCAGCCAGTTCGGTGGGGAGGGGCTGAATCTCCATAGCACCTGTGGTGCCAATATTTCTATTCATAACCCAAGGATATGAATAAAAATAGCCTAACTCTAATGGAAAACTTTGAAAACAAAGCTAGGATGTTTTTTCTAAAGAATGTTGTGCATTACGTGATAATCTGCATAATAATTTGACAATCATTTAGGAATCAGAAAAGGAAACAATGATATTATGCCCAAAATTCTTATGCTTCACATAGTAAATTGTACTAGAGAAGACCCATCGAATCGATGGGGATTTAGTGAGTCAATTCCTCCGTAAGGTTTATTGAGTCAAATAGGCCTACTCTAACTGCAATTTATTGTGCTAGAGTATTCCCATTGAATTTATGAAAGAGTTGACTCACCTAAATCCAATAGTTTCAGTGGGGCTATTCTAGTGAGGTTTACTATGCTAAGCAAAAGGATTTCAACCAACATATTACATGGACTTCCTGATCTATTGCAAAACATTAGACTTCTTTCTATATTCATTGCATTTGTAAGTTTAACAGACGCAAAAATAATTCCCTTTCCCTGCCATTCATTCTGCCACTACCTTCTGGCATATTCCTACTGCACAGAACATTTGGGCTGTCCATTGGAAGCAAGCCTGAAGGTAAAGGTAAGCCACATGTTCCTTCCACCAGGTAGACAAATTCTCCAATCTAAAACACAGAAACATGCATTTCAATACTGAAAGCAATTTATGCAGAACAGATTAGAAGACTTTCAGATAATAAACAAAAATCCGTATTACTTCAATATACAAGAATATATTTAATTGCCTGAAGACTTCATTTTAATATCTCTTAAATAAACTAAAATGGGTGTATTACATAATATGTTACAGAAAAACTTCAGCATTTCCACTCTGGAAAAAAAATAGTATGAATTGAAGCATCTATTATTCTTTTTGTCCTTAAGTCCCCCACCAATGCTCTGTTTCCATCAATTGCATGTAAGGAGTGATATGACTTCACTCATGTGGCACAGGCCTTAAATGCTACATGGTGCCATAGGATGAACCTCTAGAAACAGTAGTATTTGGTTATTCAGGTATTAGCTTGGCTCCATGGGTTGAAGCAAAGACTCAATGTACACAGTAGCAGAGAGTAGACTTTTTACTCCCTTTACTTTGCTCTGTATTTTCTAGGCAACAGCATTTAATAGAATATTGTACCTCACATACAACCATGTCAGTCTGTCAATCAGATGTGATGTTTCCACCCATGGTACATCCTTTGGTTCACCAAGTTGAAAGAGTAGAACCCATTATTCAGATATTTTACAAATATATGCAAAGATTTAAGAACATCAACTATAGTGCCAGATTATGCTGGATCTCTGATCATTACAAACTGAAAGCAGTATTTCTGTCTTTATTAAGACAGTCTGGTCCTTTTCATTAAAATGTATACTCCATTTAAAAGGCACCAAAAATGTATGGTTCCACCTGTAGGCAGTTTTGACACCTGTACATGAAGATCAAATTATGCAAGACAGTACTCCCTTTTCTTTTTTACCAAATGTTTATTCTTGCCATTAAAATAATGTCAAAATGCCTGAACTCTTCCATTTATATTCCTATGAAACAGTATATTTTAACAAGCACATGCCATAAAACTAATTGCTTATTATGGAAATCCATTCTCTGTATAAAAAAAATCAAGCAATAAAGAGAGATCTGTTACTTCCTTCCTTGAAAAATACAAAATGTTCTCATATCATAAAAATGATACAGAAATACAGAGTCCATGTACTATATATATGTCTACTCAGAAGCAAGTCCCACTGTCCATGTACTATATATATGTCTACTCAGAAGCAAGTCCCACTGAGTTCAGTGAGACCAACTTTCAAATAAATAGGTAAAGAATTACAGCCTTATACTAACAATTCTAGAAAACTATAAGATACTTACTCCATGCAGTTAAAGTCTTGACATTACTATTCCATTTCATTTAAATAAAATAGGGATTGTAGCAATTCTTTCATTCTAATAGCCATCATAACAGAATTGATCTATATCAATGTATTTTTTTAAAAAAACTATTTACCTGTTCATTGACCAAAATAATTGCACAATAACGTTTTCCCACATTAAAAGGAAGATAGTGTATTTCAAGAGTTTTAGAACTTTCTCTCTCCAGGAACATTATATCTGCTGGGCTGAAGAACTCTTGTAAGCAGTTTGATTCATTAGCTGTCAAAATACAATTTAGAGGTTTATATACACGATCAAGCCTGGTCAATGGATCTTCTCTGATAAATACACAATGCAGGCTATAACCCAAAGACTATAAATACATGTTAAAAGTGACATGTGCTGTTTGTAATCCCTAATCAATAGAACTGGATAATTGCAATGACAAATTAACATAACTGACACAGTAAATTTATGCTTTCCATTTTTGTCACTTATAACAAAATAACTGCTAGATAGTTCAGTGGTTTAGGCACCCATCAGCGGAGGCAGAGGTTGGGAGTTTGATTCCCCACTATAACGCCCTGAAAGGGGCTGGACTTAATGATCTATAGGGTCTATTCCAGCTGTGCAATTCTATGATGATGGCAGTAATGAAATCAGACCTCTGCATGATGGTTAAGTTGAAAGAACAGTTTATAGGAGGGCAGGAGGGTAGGAGTTGAGAGGTATAAAAAAAGTTAAAAATCCAGGTGCATGTGAATCCTCTACAGTAAAAAAATGTAAAGTTTCATTATGTGGTCATAGACCCAATTATACAAAGATAAATACATAGAATAAATACATAGTATAGTATAAAATCTTGCTATAGAATTTTGCGCATTCTTATAGCTGAAAATAAAAACTGTAGAGAATCATCCTCTACAGTATGGATCTAAACTAATTATCTCCTTGATGAGCCATGTTAAAGTAAAGGTTCCCCTTAACAATTTTTGTCCAGTCGTGTTCGCCTCTAGGGGGCGGTGCTCATCCCCGTTTCCAAGCCATAGAGCCAGCGTTTTGTCCAAAGACAATCTTCCGTGGTCACATGGCCAGTGCGATTTAGACACGGAACGCTGTTACCTTCCCACCGAGGTGGTCCCTATTGATCTACTTGCATTTGCATGCTTTCGAACCGCTAGGTTGGCGGGAGCTGGGACAAGCGACGGGAGCTCACTCCGTCATGTGGATTCGATCTTACGACTGCTGGTCTTCTGACCCTGCAGCACAGGCTTCTGTGGTTTAGCCCACAGCGCCACCACATCCCTATAGCCATGTTAAGAGTATAGCTAAAACCCTACTGATTTTAGCTATACTCTGATTTTAGCTATACTCTAGCTATACTGATTTTACACACTGGTGTAAGCATAAAGCACAGTGTTGAATTGCTGCTAATAAACAGGTTGCATCCCTTGATGCACACCAATTCATCAGCAATATATCATTGTAATTTATGCCCCTGCACTAATGCCAGTATAACTAACCCATAGGATTCCAGCCATTGCATTATATAAAGTTATAAGGTTTTATTCTCCTGCCAACCTAGCAGTTCTAAAGCATGTAAATGGGAATAGATAAATAGGTACCACCACAGTGGGAAGGTAATGGCGTTCTGTGTCTAGTCACGCTGGCCACGTGACCACGGAAACTGTCTTCGGACAAACACTGGCTCTATGGCTTGGAGACGGGGATGAGCACTGTGCCCTAGAGTTGGACCCGACTGCACTAAATGTCAAGGGGAACCTTTACCTTTTCCTAAGATTATATTAGCCATACGCAACAAAAATGTGTATCTAGGAACTGAAGGCAGAATAAGAAACTGTATTTTTGTTTAAGATTGTGAAGCAATTTATTTTAATTGTGATACAGTTCTTCCTCCATAAAGGCCATGGCCAAGTGCCTTCATGTTTTGAAAATGCAGGACTGCTCCCAATATCATTTTTTAAAGCAAGTAAGGGAGATCCAGGTCTCAGAGCCTGCAAACCAAAGTTGTATATTTCTAGATCTTTTACCCTATGATTCCCATAAGCCCCAGCTCAGATGGGCAATAGTGTGGAATTATGATAGCTGTAGTGCAGAACACTGACTGCCTCTATAACAAAATATTGTTCTCCATTTTAAAAACACAGTTTTAAGTCTAATATTCTAAACAATGGACTTCTTTTTAAAAATGCAAGTTATTTTCCACTAGGTACAGTACTTAAATCACTTATCTTAGCTGCCAATACAGAATAATGGACCATGGACTATTAGCCAGTTCAGGAGTTTTCCTCAGAAACAAATGTTTAAAAATGTAACTGTTCAGCAGGATATGCAAAGAAAAGACTGATCAAGAATATGTTTTACATTGGACTGAAATCTGGCAAGAAGCAGATAGAGCAGGACAGAAAGCTGCATCTGGGGATGCAAGCATTTCTAGTCCATCTTTCTTTGGCTCCTTTCCTCCTCTTCCTTCGCTCTCCATATCATTGCACTGCACCTCTAATACTAGAACTATACTAGGCAGCAATGCTACAGTTGCTTATCTGGTAACAGGTTCTATTGAAATTAATGAGACTTTGTAACAGAAGTGCAATGTAGTCCACAATATCAATCAATATCCATCAACTCACAGGCCAGAAGCGTACACTCCTAGCGGAAGGTGCACATAATCTGCTGTACCTCATTGTGACCAACTGATAAGGTATTGAGGGATATCACTGCTGGGCAAAAGGGCACATGGAGAAGCACATGACTGTGGCACATCCCAGCACTTCATCAATTAACTGCAATCAGTCACAGCAAATTAGACAAGCTTTATGTGAATGCCAACTAGATTCTGGCCATATAATGGTTTAAATAAATCATTTACAAAGGTTTCACATATTCTAGAAAAATAATGTAGTATATACTGTATGCAATCAAAGACATGTGCCTGTATGTAATGCATACCAGTGCTTGGGCTGTCCCCTTCTTTGTAAAATCCAGGAACACCTACAACACCATCTGTATTTTTAAGGATGTCCACTTCAGGACTAACGAAAAAGGAAAACAAAATAATGCATTAAATATCCTGGAATGGAATTCATATTCCAATAGTGTAATACAACAATACTTGAAAAAACATTTTTATTAAACAAATTGCTTTGAGAAAAATGTCAGGAGGTACTATTGAAAGGATCATGTGTACATTGGTAGCAAAGAAACAATATGTACACTAGGTTCTCTATTGAATGTTTAACTATGTAATCACTGTATTTCATCTCATATTTCTGAAGTGGGTGAAGTTCCATGAAAGCCTACATTAAATGTCTTTAAGGTGCTGTGGCATCTGCCCAGGTCATTAATATTAATGTGATATCTGCATAGACCAATGGGAGTGCTGGAGGGGCGGAATCACGAGATAAAAGAAACTCAGCAGGAAGAGGAGGAGTTTTAGTTAGAGAAAGTCAGGGAGATTGAGAGTTTAGCGAGAGTAGTAGTTAAGAGTGGATGAAGGAGGATGTTTGTTTAAGAGTTAACAACATTATTTGAACAATCATCATCTGTAACGATAAACAATTTCTATTTGGTTCTTTTAAAAATGACACATTGCCTGGACCTCTATTAATAATATTAAACAATGGCAGCTGAAAGACACGTAGCGTCAGCTCTTAGTCTGGTGTAACAAGCAGGGGCCACGTGGGGGTCATGACAGGTGCCACAATGTTTTCATCTTTTCTTATTTTTATTTTGTTTTTGCTTGATATGCTTGTAGAGCTTTACATGGCTAGGTCTTTTAAAACCTGCATTTGAAATGGTGCCTTCTCTTTGTGTAATTGTACAGTTTATTTTGGGTTTGTGTATATTAAATTTTTTGTTAGGTCATGGTTTAGGTTATTAAGGCTAAAATATAATTTCTGAATGGGATTTGTAGTCATGGAATTGTGTAGAAGGAATCCATATTGGTCTGTGTTAGCATAACTAGATGCTTCGAGAAGCTGTTTTTTCCTCGAGCGAGCTGGAATTTTCCATGAAGCTGACTTGGCCAGAGACGATAAGGAGCCAAGGCACAACATCAGGACGATGGTCAACAACACCTGCACATCCCATGGGAAATGGAGGTGGAGTGTGAAGAGACAGCCCTTCACCCTGATTGGTTAACATCGCAGAACAGTGGAGAAGAAGGGTGGTCCCAGCATGGAAGAAAATGGAGACAGAGAGAAGACTTGATTTTTGGACTTGATTCTTGACTTGATTTTTAGGATGGATTTTTGAGTTCAAATTGCTAGTTTTTACTGTTATACTAGGATGTAGTTCAGAGTAAGGATAGAGAAAGGGGGGCTAAGCCTAGCCTACCTTTTAAGCTATTTTTAGAGGTTTTTATTTTATTTTTGTAGCTGGAATTTGCTAAACTTCTAATTGCTTTGATTTATGGAAATATACTTGATTGCTATGCTTTTGCAAACAAACTGAATATCTCTAAATCCTTTATTTTTCTAATAAAACAATAATTCTTAAAATCCAACGTTTGGTCTCTTGAACAGCAAACCTGCAAGATTATTTGTGAGGCCACAGATATGCTACTTGAGTCCATTAATAGCCTGACTCCAAAACTCATGATTTTTATCTTTGTTTTTCCTCAGTTAATTGCTCATTAGAATGAACGTGGGAAAAGGGTAAGTGGTACTGCCTGGCTGGGTACCCAGACTCAGCTCAGCTGATTTAGGAGTATGCTTATACCTGGAACCTCTCTGTTCAAGCCTCAGGTGCTATTTAAGAAGAGTGCTCACAGTATTGTTAGCTATTTTTTTGTTAATTGTACTTCTTTTCTTTTCTGATTTCAATTAAAAAAAAATTTAAAAAATGGAAATTGTCTCTTCTGCCATTTCTAAAACTATTTGGAGCCTTGAACAAATCCCTTAAGCCAAAATGCAATTCAGCCACTTTAAGTACTTTCAATTACAATTCCATATAATTAGCTTGCTTATTTTAGTTTGTGATTATACATTCAAATTGTTCCCTTGAGACTATGACTTGCCACCTCATGGTTTGTCACATGTCACTGAACTATCCCATTTCAATTCATGCAGAACACTATTGAAAATATTGCATTGATTATGACTTAATTGGAAGAAAGCCACAGACATTTTATTTTTCCTTACAGTAGAAATTTCATATTGTTCTAAATTGCCATGTCATATTTTATTGATTGAACCCCACCTAGAAATTAGTGGTTATAGAAAGGGATAAAAATATTTTAATAGGAATAAATAAATGTAGCTGGAAAGCCCAGCAACATATGATATACACAAGCACACCTTTGCAAACATTACACAACTTAAACTGTGAGAGGAGATGGGGATTTGCAGTAGTAAACATATTTATACAGTAGCAGAATCAAGCTGCATTTACCGACAGTGGCCACTAATGTTAAGCACTTTGAAGTCCCACAACAAACATGTCACTGAGTTTATTCAGGCCAATGGACAGTAGCCATTTAAAAAGGATGCTTTTATGTCTTGTACTGCAACTGTGCTGTTGTCATCCCAAAGTTCAAATCTTTAAGAAAAACTTTTACATTCTCTGCTCACTCCAGAATGCACCACAAGCCTCAGATGGACATAATCTAATTTCTCTTTTCCATTACATCTTGTAAAGAACAAAGCTGTGAAGTCAAAACCTTGGCAATTTTTTCCCATTGCTTAGCAAAGGAATAAAAATGGTTTGCCCAGCAATCATGTGATGCTCTTTGAAGCAGAAGGACTCTGTAGTATGCTCCTTCCCCCTCCAACAACTACTACATTTTGCCTGTAGCATTTATTGCAATGGCAGAAAATTCTACTGTGCCTCCCAAATTCTATTGGTGGAGATACAGCCTTAATGGACTCTGAGAGGGATCCACTGTGGCTTCTTGGCCTTGCGGGGTTGTTACCCATCCCTACTTAGGCCATGGCCATCAAACACTGAGACATGAGTTCAACACTTAGTTTTCCAGATTTAAAGTTTGACTGTGCGCAAAGTATACCTTACACAAAACATTTTGCTCATGTTTCCTCTTTGATTCTTGCCAGCATCATTACTGTTTTCATAAATACTTGGCACTTGGGTGTAATTGGTAATTGAAACCAATACACATCTTCCTAAGAGTACACTCCAGCATACTTATGTATTATGTGTTTTATTCTGGAAACAACAGAATAGAAATAGTGTGGCTCTAATGTGAGGCAAAACATAGCACAAGGCAAAACTATAAAGTCTGACCAAAAAGTTTCTTGGAAAAACTGTTAACATAACTGTCATCCATGTCCATACTCCAACCACAGATGTTGAAAAACATAAAATTGAAAGCTTTTATGGAGGTCTCCAGGGGGAAACTGATCACATGCCAATGTGTGTGGTCATGCTGATAATCATAGTTGACTGGAATGCAAGAATAAGATATAAAGCAGAACCAAATTTTCTTGGAGAATGTGGAGAGCGATTTAATTGAATTTTGTGAAGCCAATGGTCTGCTTATTGCAAACACATGCTTCAGACAACTGAACAGGTAGCAGCATGCATTGATATCACCAGATACCCAATACAGAAAGCAAATACACTTTACAATTTGAAGCTGAAGATGGAGAAGCTTTATTCCCTCTGCAAAAACAAGACCAACTATGCCTATGGTATAGACCATGAACTGTTAAAATAAAAAAATAAAGCAGAACAACAATGATAAATCAGTAGAATTTCAATAGACTTCCATTACTAAGCTCAACTGACTATGAATCAGAATAATGGATAGAAACGTTATATATTACAAGAGAAAATTCCAAAAGACTGCTCCTGTAACCAAAATGAGAGAGAGAAAGGAAAGAAAAGAAAAAAAAAACCTCTTGAAACTCTAAAAATAGTTATTAGCAAGTAAGATTTAAAAATAAAAGGTAACATAAATAAGGTCAGAATACTAAATACAATTAATACATAGGCAGAAAAAGAACTAATGTAATAATCATTACAAAGAAATAAAAGAGAAACAACCAAGGAGGTGAAAAAAGGAAAAATAAGAGATTCCTTCCTGAATGAAAAGGAAATTTAAACAGATATTTGGGATGTTGAAAGATCAATGTGGAATATATTCGATATAACATAAAGAGTAGACATAAACAGCATATTGACAAACTATACAAAAGAGATGCAAGGATGACAGATTCCTTGAATGAAGAATCCTTTGATGATGAACCTGCAATTTTGGAAAATGAAATAAAAGTTGCAGTCAAATAATCTTGGAGAAATAAAACACAGGAGTACTGATTGGCATACCAATAGAATTACCTGAACATATAGAGACTTAACCTATCACAATCCAAAATAAGCCAACAAATATGGAAAACAAAACAATGGTCCACAGACAGGGAACATTCCTTATGCCTTCCAGTACCCAAAAGAGGAAACACCAAAGACTGAAAACATTATAAATGCATCACATAAATCACCCACACAAGCTCAACAATTTATAGCAAAGACTTCTACCATGAAAGAACTGAGAAATGTCAGGTGTTCAAGATGTGCTCAGGACAGAAAGAAAGAAGCACTAGAGATCATATTGCAAATATATATTGTAAATATACCAAAAGGTTGCAGGAGAAATCTACTCTGTGCTTCAAGATTACAATAAAACCTGTCTGTGTGGATTATGAGAAGCCAATGTATCATTCTAAATGAAAAAGATGTGTCACTGCATTTAACTGTCTGGATGCGTAATGTTACTCTGGACAAGAAATTAGGACAGAATATAGAGAGACAGAAGGTTTATAATTGGCAAAGTTGTTAGATCAAATTTTGCTATCTGGTCAATCTATATGCAGAATATACCAAACTGAAAGCCGGATCAGCTTCAGATAAAGGAGGCATGATAACAGGAAGATAAAAAATATTAACAGGAAGATAAAAACATAGAGATGACACCATATTACTGGCAGAAAATAGCAATAATTTGACAGTTGAAGAAAGTGAAAGTCAAAAGCAAAATTAAGGTTGGCTATTAAGAGACAAAGATAATGACTACATAAGAATTACATAATGTAATACTGACAATGAAGGTATCAGTATTCCTAGACAGGTTCTATACCACAGCCCATCAGGTCAAATGGAGATTGAAGCCAAGCAATCAGCAGAAAACTTGAGACTTGCAAGGGTAGCCATGAAGGAACTGGGAAGGATACTTACTTGTGACATATTTTAGTGCCTTGCTGGAAACCAAAGCCAAAGTAATCCGTACTATGTTATTCCCAATTGATTAATATGAATGTGAAAGCAAGGCAGTGAAAATTTTGTTCAAAATGTAGCATTGGAGGAGAGTTGTATGGATATTGTGCAATGCCAGAAAGACAAATACCCGTATTTTTCGCTCCATAAGACGCACCTTTCTATAAGACGCACCAATTTTTTTGGAGAAGAAAACAGGAAAATATAATCTGTTTTCTTCGCTCCATAAGACGCACAGACTTTCCACCCCCCCTGTTTTGTGGGGAAAAAGTGCGTCTTATGGTGCGAAAAATACGGTAAATGGATTCTAGATCAAATCAGGCCAGAACTCTCTATAGAAGCAAAAAAAAAAAAAAAGATTAAATTGAGGCTACTGTACTTTGGACATGAGAAAATGTGAAGAAACTATAATGCTAGGAAAAGTGGAAGGCAGCAAGAGAAGAGGAAGACCCAACATGATATGCATTGACTCAATGATAAAAGCCACAGCCTTTAGTTTGCAAGACCTGAGCAGTGCTGTTATTAATTTATAGTCTTACCAAAAGTTGGAAATGACTTGGTATCACAATGCGCACAACTCCTTTTCCCTCTTCTGCCTCTCTCCTCATTCGAGGACTGCATAAGCATATTCATATATGCAATGCTTTCAATCTACTTGATTTACACTAGCTTCAGGAAACAAAAGCTTTAAAAGACCTCTACCACTATATAATAAAATAAAATGTACTCAGTGGAATTTTGTAATTTCTTTTTGCACTTACAAAACAGTTCAAGCATTGTTAATGAAAGGCAAGTATGTACAATTATATTTATGAAAAAGGAGGAATATCACACACAGCAAGAGTTATTAACACTGAAATGCATCTGAAGGAATTACACCAAGTCATTTCAGCTCAGAACTCATTTAATTTTAGCATCATATATGTTACTCTCACCCAACAATGAACTCTGATGGTGACACAATTATTCTATACAGTACTTATAAATCATTAGCCATAGTTTATATTGGCTTCAATTATTAGCAACCCTAGACTGAAGAACCACGCTAACTAAATGAAAGTCAGCAACAGAAAAATACAGTATGCACTACATTACCCCCAAAATGCATTTTAACAGCTATATTTAACAACATACTCTCCCATTATTTTATAATAGGCTTTTCCATAAAAAGCATGGACAAAAATGTTTCTATTCTACATAAAATACAGTGTTATTTAATTTCTGAAATAATTATATCAGGCATATGAACCTATAAATGTGAAGTCAGACACAGAGCATTCCTATGTTTAAATCCATTTAAAAGCATTTCTTAATATTAGCTTCTACTTTACTCTTCTGTTGCTAAAACTACCACAATGTAATATTCATATAGGTAATGCTCTTTCAATATACTTGATTTACACTAGCTGCAAAAAACAAAGCTTTAAAAGATTGTGAAGTAGATACAAAAGGTATGTGGGAGGCATCTATACAGTATTACGGTTAACTGAACCACTAAGGCTAACCATAATGGTATACTAGCAGATCTTTCTTCATTGCCTCATGCAGCACACCATGTTATTTGAAGACTGCATCCCAAAGTATCCTCCCGAACTCCAGATTTGGTTTGGGGAATAAACAAGACATGTATGGGGAAGATCACCCATTCCACCTCTGCTGAATTCTGCCAGCAGAAAGCTACCATTGGATTCTGCCACAGGTTCATTAGCTCAAAAACATACCTTTTTACTTTTCCTTGTTTTATTTGATTTATTTGATTCAGCATCTCAGGATCCATGATGCAACTTGTTGATTCAACTAAAATGACACTAAAAATATTTCCAATTTAGCAAAAATCCAGTACTTTAATAATGTAATAAACTAAACCCAAGCTGCAAAGAACAGAGCATAACAATTTTTAGGGTGACTTCCAATATTGTTCTATTGAAAAACTTACCTCCCCACAGTTCCTTCCCTAAGCACCCTTTCAAAAACACAATAATGACTGGGTAACACTCCAAATTAAGATGGAGTGTGGAACAAAGAGTGGAAAGGAAAGTATCCCGGGGGGGGGGGGATGGAAATTTAAGTAAATTTCTACTACATGCTATAGTACCATGAACCAATGAGAAATATTTTAACTGGGAAATCATTTTCCAGTATCAAGACAGTCTCTAATACCACAAAAACAAATACAGGAATAAAAGCATCTTCAAACAGAAAAAGTTGAACATCCTGGGAAATTTCATTCATTTATCTGAGAAAAGCCAAAAATAAACTTGGTTTATTTTATTTATTTATTTGCTGAAACCCATTAGCTGCAGCTACACCACTGTACTATGTTCCAATTTTCTAGAAATAAACAATTTCCAACACACACACCCTGAAATTCACAGAGGTCCCATGGAATCCCTTTCATTCTGATGAAGCCATTAGAGACTGCGGGAAAAGGAAAGTCTTTGATTTCACAAAATTGCCAACTTCTAAATCAGAAATTTTTATTTCAGAAAAATCACTATGGTTGATGACATCAGAAGTCTTACACTGGATAACTTATGGAACACAATTTCCGCTATTAAATTTAAATGTCACTTTCAATCAAATATGACGGTCAAGCAGAGCAAAATTCTACCATAAAAATAATTCAAACAAATTATTTCATTAAAATAATTACAGCCAGTATTCTATTCAGCTTTAGGCTAAATAGAAAATCCGACCACTATAACACAGCTTTACATCATTTGTGTGCAAGCTGAACTGGTAATCTCCAGAAGAAAGCCCACACACTGCTGGTGCAATGACAATGAAGGTGCAAACCTGCATTACTATATATTGCAGAACTTGAACAGGACACTGCTCTACAAACTTGGTGTGCATGTTCCTTTACAAGAATATAAAACAAGAATTAAAACAGACAATATCCAAACAAAAAAGAGAAGTAAGCAAAATCCAAGATGGGAAAACACAGGGAACTAAGTGATGGAAGGGGGGAAGGCCTGCCTGATGAACCAGACAAGATGTTCCATCAGTGAGGGGCCACCGCCAAGAAGGCCCAGTTTCTAGTTCTCTCTTTCCAGACCTCTCTCGGGTTCAAGCCCCTCAGCCGTGCAGCCTGGCTAGATTGAATGAAACAAGTAGAGCTAGGTGGGAGTAGGCACTCTGCCTGGTATCGAGGTCTTAAACCGTTTGGGGCTTTATATTTAAACACTAATACCTTGAAGTCAATGTGGAAACAAATGGGCAACCAGTGTAAGGCAACCAGAGTGGGGGAAATGTGATGATATTTTTTCACCCCAGTTAATAGTCTGGTGGCCATTTTATTTAAAAGTATCTTTAATACTTTTAAATAAAATATTAGTATATACCAGGAAAATATTGTATATCTTCCTACTTCAGGGCATTTATCTACATGCCTTACTAAATGCTTAGGGTTTTTTTATAAAATAATCAGAGTATTATTGAAATAATTATAAACTACAGAATTAGGTACAGACTAATCTACAGCGGTGCCTCGCATAACGAGCGCACCATTTAATGACGACTCTGCATAGCGATCTATTTTTTGCGATCGCTAATGCGATCGCATTGCAATGTTTTGAATGGGAAAACATCGCATTGCGATAATCGGTAAGCATTTTGCTTACCAATCTTCGCATTGCGATGTTTTTAGAACAGCTGATCGGCGGTTCCAAAATGGCCGCCGGGTACCCAAAATGTCCACCACAAGCATTTTCGCACGGTTTCTTCGCTTACCGAGGCGGCGAAAATTGTGACGCTATGGAGGATCTTCGCTGAACGATGAGTTTTCGCCCCATAGGAATGCATTAAACAAAGTTTAATGCGTTCCTATGGGGTATTTAGTTCCGTTTAGCGATGTTTCTGGATAGTGACGATTAATCCGGAACAGATTAACATCGCTATGTGGGGCACCACTGTATTTTTTATTTAACTTCATACCTGAATGGTCCATGAATTTTGAAAGGACTAGTAACTTGTAGACTACATTTCTTCAACTCATAACATGAAGATTTGCATTTGAATGTACCCTGTAAGTAAACAGAAAGAGAGATTAGTGAGCAAGTTTACCATTTATAGTTAAATAATTTTTTAAAAAAGACTCCACGCCTTTTTGATGCCAGGTTTTACAAAATACAAAAATCACAAGGAAGACAGAAAGTTAAGCCTCATGTACCAGAAGATACCACCAACTTGTATTGATACTAGGTTCCTCATTGTTTCTTTCTGTATTTATTCCATCATTAGTAGATCACAAGTAAATCCAATCTTTTTTTGCTTATGTATGTAATATATTTTGTTTTTTGATGGGAATATAGTTTCCAGTTGCATTACTTTGTCTGTCTTTTAGCTTCTGTGATATCAGTCCTTTGGGCAATTGCTAGGTATGTCCAGATGATATCACTGATGCACTAAATGAAGCATGATGTGGGAGCGAACCCTATTGCCTTTGCCTAACTTCTGCTTGCACTTGGAAAGACTACAATTGCAGTTCAATTTGTATCTTTTTTAAAAAAATCTTCTATTTTAATTCTATAACACTAAACTGATAGACTACCAATTCATATGTTTACCATGTCTTGTCAATTTAGCACTATTTCACTTGCTAAACATTTTTAAAAAAAGAAGTTATCTGAATAATGGCAAAAAGAGTGGGTAATAACATAGGAATAATGGCAAAGAAAGGTGACCAAGAAGGGAAGGTGTGTGATTAGTAGACACTTGAAATACACTTTCCCAGGATAAGTAAAATTATCAGTAAGAACGACAATGATTTAAATTCCAGGTTGCAGTAAAAAGAACTTTGTGTCAATCTAAAACACACTTCTATATGGATCAGGCCTCTGTAGAATTAAGATGTTCCATTTCAGTACAGAAGAACCAATGCTTATTTTGAAAAAAGGATGATGATATAAAATTACACAGACACATAAACACAAATATATGTGAATGTGAATGCAAAGGACAAAGGTTTTTCTTCTGCTTGTGGAGAAGGCACACATTTGTTTTTTAAAAATTGGACTGTGTAGGAGTTAGCTTACAGTTTTATAGGCCTTATGAGTTCTTAGATAGACATGCACTCACTTTTTACCGTTTTTACATTTCATTTCTTTTTACTTTTTTTGGAGGGGGGGCTTTTTACAAAGATGAACAAGAAGAATGCTACGAGACCTTCCTAAAATTCTATGTGTGTTTTTACCCTCAGAATAAGCGAAAGAAAGATGCTGGATACAGTTCTAATAAATACTGTACTGAACCTGTGTTTTGTATGTTACATGTGATCTATAGTCCCACTGCACAGTTACAGCAGTTATTTAAAAAATTGTGTGCTGCTTTGCAATTCACAGATTTAAAAATGCTTCTAGTAAAATGTTTATGAAAATATCAAAAGACAAAATGGAAGAAGGCACAAACCAGGAGGAACAGAAAGATTAAAAAAAGAAAAGAAAGGAAAAGACAAAGCCCAGGAAGAGTCTCTTATTTGCTGTGCATGATGAATGGCCCATACCATCCAAAGGGGGGGGGAATTGTGCCAACATGTAGTGAGCTTTATCTCTGCATATCTTAATAATAGCTCCCTGGTTGAGCATATTTGTAAATAAGGAAAGACTTTCTTGCAGTCACATGATTCTAGCAGGACCAATTACCTTGTTTAGTCAAAAGGAAAGAAGGTTTGCGGGTCATCCTTACACTTTAAAAGTTCTACATACTTTGCTTTCTTACTTAATAAATGGATTTTTAAACCAAAGACAATTGAAAATCTTAAATAAAAAGTTTAATTTTAAATCTGGACTTATCTTAAGATATCTGCTACTTGAAAAATAACAAGCAAAATGGCTTATTATCCTGTATTAAACATTAAAGACCAATTTCAACTGAAATATTCATTTTTAAAAACTGAAATATTCATATTCATATATTTTTACATGGTACTTACAGCAGGTTTCACATGGCTAATCTTGGTCACCAGGGAGAATGTCATGGTAACCCCAGCGACTCCAGTTAAAGCCTTGGAAACAAGCAGCAGCACAGCTTCAGCAGGATACAAGAAGCGACTAGTAAATTTCACTGCTATGCTTACTTGGCTCCTAAATTGGGAAACAGAGGAAACTTTTTAATGAAATTATGGCGAAGACAAAGCAAAGTACAATGGTTCAATGTGGCTAACACTGAGTTGCTTTCATCAAGAGAAACAACACAGTGGTAAAAGTAAATTCACTTCTACAATCTAATAAAATTAGGTAAGAAATGGCAGAGCCTCGATATGGCTTCCCAAAGCCATGGCATTTTCTCCACATGGACTTCCACTTTACCATCAAAGCCATTGGCCAGCATTTCTCGCACCACATTCACATCCTGTCTCCCCAAGATGTTTTCCTCATGGGCTTTTAAGATGGCTGCTAGGGCACTGCACAGTTTTTACTATGTAGCAGATATCCACAGATATAGATTTCAACCAAAACTCAATGTGCAATCTAAAGTATTGGCTTGTGGCAAATAACAGATCTAAGCAGTGGCACAACTTTCATAAATATAACTTCCTGCTGGATAACTACATAGAGGGAATTCTTCCCCTCTGCTGGACTGCAGATGTGATGGATTGCATTAGTGCTAAGCAGGGGCAGTGCTTGCTGATCCCTTGTTAGTATAAAAGTGATCATTTGTTTCAGTAACCAGTTGTGTTTTCAAATTGCATTGTTAGTTAAAGAACTAACAATTTGTCAAAGACAATTGACTGGCATAGTTGGAAAGCTGAAAATTTACCAAAACAGGTGAATGGTTAGAAATATGAGCCAGCTCACTGTGATTCTTAAACCTAGCAAATACCATATGCTATGTACAAACTTCAGACCAATTACTGTTCATAGAAAGATTTTAACAGCTACTCTTGTAAATAGGCTCAAAAATGTCATAGTGATTTTGTGCCTTTTTCTGGTTATAACTCGAAGCTTCAGTCGTAAGTAGAAGCAAATTTTTGCGGCCTGAGCTGGTCGTAACTCGAAATGGTCGTATGTCGCAATGTTCGTAAGTCGACGCACCACTGCACATTGTTTAACACTGATTTTCTTCCATAATTTTCGAAATGGATTAAGATTCCTAATCTGTCCCTAAACTCTCAGGTATTGTCAAATAGCATTTTTTCCACACCATTTGCTATTGAAAGAAAAGATTAAAACCATTGCCGCCCCCCACAAGTATCTGATTTGTATTTGGAACCTCTGACTTGGCTTATTAGACTGAATCCTAGTATACATGGCTTAAAATTATGATTCTGCAGAAGTTAAAGCACTACATTATGCAATTGATATTTCGCTGTTTATTTTGAAACCACAGTTCCAGAACTAACAAAGGTAGTGAACATTTTTGAAGATACACCTCATCATTCTTTCCATTGGTCAAAATCTAAGGTAGTATAAACAAGAGGCAATGTATCATGAATTGTATTTGCGCACTAGAGTTTTTCTGATGTTGAAATATTATTACAAATTGTCAGATCTGGATAAAATTCACTATATGCTGGTGGCTGAGATGACTGACATTGTAGAAAGAGTTGCAGACTTCCTTGATACTATTGTTAGAAGATGCACTGTTGTCCCTTTAAGGATGTCTAACACTTTTCTGCCCTCTTGATGCCTATATCCAATAAATAAATATATAGGTAGTTACCTAATAAACCACCATAACTATGTCCAATTTTTACTTATGCCAATAAAAGTTTCATCTATCTATCTATCTATCTATCTATCTATCTATCTATCTATCTATCTATCTATCTATCTATCTATCTATCTATCTATCTATCTATCTATCTATCTATCTATCTATCTATCTACCTACCTACCTACCTACCTACCTACCTACCTACCTACCTACCTACCTACCTACCTACCTACCTACCTACCTACCTACAAATCTCAAAATACTAATCCCTAGAAATCTCTCGGATATTAGAAAGTTAATATTTAACAAACCAATTAGCATCCATTAACTGACAGTGTGTTTCCACATTACTGAACTGGGCAACTTTGGAATCTTCTGATTTGTCTCTTCCATCTTAGTAGACTGTATTAGGATCCAAACATATTAGAGCTTGGTTTACACCCCTTAACTTTTAAGCATCCAGAGATTTCTGGTATGTAATATCATCAACATTACCCCTTTGATTCATTTTTTCATACTAAATTAATTGAAAATTGTGACAAAGCCATTTTTGCAGAAGGTATGCATGGATAAGGGACTTATTACTCTAGATAAAGAATTATTCCTCTAATTTTCTAAGCTGATGGCAAATTCCACTGAGCATCTACAGTATTTATTGCTGTCTCAGTTTAACCCTTCAGCATCTCCCCCAATTTTGGTTATACTTATTGAATCAGTAAGTAAAATCTATTCATAATGTAATTAATGTAAATTATATTAAAACCATGTTTATAATAATTTAATGCTGGCCAGTCAGTTTCATATACAAGGTTGGAGACAATTTGAAATGACGAATTGGATTGTCCTAATTTGTCTAACAAGTGGAGAATGATTTTTGACTTCTACCCCCACTGTATCTGTGGATCTTAATTGGTAGCTAATCCAGAAAATTATGTTCCGTGTCCATTGGACATCACAATACTTTCTTTAAAAAGGTCTGAGAAATAAGCTCATTTTTAGTGATGCAATATATTCAATATGTCTCTTAAACATATACTCCGGTCACATTAGCCTCTTTTTGTAGGGGTGTTATTATGTACATCGGTTCTGTACTGGAGCAATCTGCATTTTGCAAATGTATTTACTTTGTTAAATCATCTATCTGTCATATGGAAATTACCCACTGTCAAAGAAAATTGATTCTCTGTGTCCTTATAGTGACTAAATAATTGATACTGATATTCTAGAAAGACAAATGCTCGCCCTCCATTGATCAACAGACTAAGGATCTTATAGCTCTTTCAACGGTAACTATCTAGACCTCTGATCATCTTTCCATTGAAATTTTCTGCTAGACTCCTTTCTAGACTCTAGGATCTTTTTAAAATGAAACTTTTTTCCCCTGGCCCACCACCCCACTTTTTAAAAAGAATGAATAATTTATTTCTAGTTCTTTTTTTAGGGGTTTTATTTTCTCCAATTGTATGCTTTTGTGTGTTTTTAAAATCTTTTCTGACTCTTGTCTTTAAACAGACAAAGCAATGATCTGTATTATGATTTTGTAAGCCGCCTAGAGCGGTCATATTGACCAGATAGGCGGGATATAAATAGAATAAATAAATAAAATAAATAAATGAGTTAAAAGGGAAAGAAATCTGATTTGCAAGTCCTGGATCTTCCAGTGTGGGGAGCAGAGACAACTCCTCACTCTCCATCTGCAACCTCCCCTTTATTCTCAGAATGAGCCTGGAGCCCAATAGAAAGTAGAAGCTTCCCATAGAAATGTTTCTATGCCTTTGGAAATCACTGTCTCTCTGCAGAATCTAGTGAGGTCAAAACATGTCATTTTGAAAACTACTGCTATCGCGTAATACATTATATAAGATATTATTTATTCATTTGTGAACCACCCTGGAAATAAATATTCAAAATATAAAGATAAATAATAACATTCCTGTTAATACAAAAAAATTGTGAAAAACTAAGAACACTGAATTCTACTCAATTCTATCAACTGTGCTCTAAATTGTACTATCACCCAAACAGGCATTTTTGTCACTTTCAACTTCTTTTTTAAAACATAAGTTTTCTACACACTTCACCTGAATATTTTTTCAGATAACACATTCTGGGGTACATTGTTCTTCAAAGGCATGTTAACATTGCAAAATATAGCAAAACAATATCGCTGAAGTCCTGTTTTGCTTAGATAACCTCCTGAATGTAAAGAAAGAAGAAAGAAGAAAGAAGACAAGGGAACGGGGGGAGAATGTTGTAGAAAGTGGCTTATTTGAAAAGGTTTGTATTGACTCAATGTGACCTACTATCTTTAAAAGATAAGAAGCTGAAGTAAGGATTTCTGCTGTTTCTTTTTGGAAAACAGAAGTGTTTCAGTAGAGTTGACTTTATATCAGCATGGGCAAGAGGAACATGTCATCAAAACAAGACAATGGTTCTTTGCTACAGTTCAATCTATATGCTCTTAGACATTGGTGAGCCATTTTCTACCACTTCAGTTGATATCAGGACTAAAATTCAGCTTTTATGCTGCATAAAAAGACAACAAAACATTTTTCTTTCAGAAAGTAACACCTGCAGTGATTGTCGTTCGTATGTACATAATGCCAAGGGGCATTCATGAAAGACAAACAGCTGAGCCACAACATAAGCTTTCAATCCATATAAAAGCTATACAACTGGGCATATACAATAGTTACCATGGTACCTAACATGGGACAATTGGGAACGAGCTATAATTCGAATCTATCTGAACATCAGCTGCATTGAGGAAGATTCAGCCTTGGACATTGGCTGCAATGTCCAAGGCTGAACAGCAACAATCTCCTAATAGAAACTGGTACGATTCAGACATAATTCAGAGATACCATGGTATAGGCTCACACTCGTCTTCACTACAGCTTTCCCACAAAGGAGGAAAGAACAGAGAGGAAGAGGGAGTACCAAAGCCCATCTCTTGTTCCTAAACTGTAGTATGTTAACTGGAAACATCATGTTCAGACATGTTTTCTTCTGCAAATCTTCCCGCAACAGTGGAAGAAGTTGCTGAGCCAGTCTCACTGAGGAAAAACCAAACTGAGGACTACTTACTTTGATGGAATGGTAACAGTATTTCCTTTGGGTAATGTAAAATCTGCAGAATCTCGCCCCAAAATTGTAACGTTATACACCAAAGGTTTCACACTTGGGTTTTTCAACTGTATCTGTTGCAAAAAAAAAACCATTTTATTTATTTCTTGTACTTACTTGTGTACTTATTTACTCACTCTCTCTTATTCTCTCTCACACACAGTTTTTAAAAAGCCATCACAAACCAAATTAACTTTTAAAAACTTAAAAGCAGCACTACAACAAAACAACTGTTTATAAAAACAGCAAGAAATATAGCAATATTATTAATTTAAAAACTAAGAACATTAAAATGTCTTTAAGTTTTGCTCAAGAGCTGCAAGACACATGATGAAGGAGACTTTTCCAGGAGCAAATTCCTCCATGCTCTAAAGGCCCCCTTCCTGGCTGATACCAACCTGACTGATCTTCATGGCTGGCAACAAAGCACTACCTTTAAAGCCAAGACAGATTCATTCGCAACACAGGCAAAGTAATTCATCAGAAGGGGTGAGAAATCTGAAGGTAGAGGAACTGCATTATTTATAAAGCCCTGCAGAACTTTCACCAGCAGGCAGAAGGGAGATACAGCATTTTTCTTCCTCTTTCAGAATGCATGTTGGTTTTATTTTTATGTTTTTGTTCCCTCTGGAAGCAGTGGAAGAAAAAATCCATATGGATTCTGCAGTTCTGCAGTTACCATACATTTTCCCCCATGTCAGTAGCATGTCTGATGACCAGGAGAGGTGTGGATTATGCATATCCAAAGTGTCCTCTGTCTTGCCCTACCTGCCCACAGACTATTTGCTTCTACCAATGCTTCACATCTGGAAAGGCAAAGGCCTTGGAAGTTTTCCTGGTGACTGTAGGAGTCATTTAAGATATGGACACCCCCTCTGAGACTGACTGGCCTTTTTGGTATGACACCACTGCAGACTTAAGAAAGAATTGCTTATTTTGTACCATAATAAATTCGCTTCACAACTTGATAGAAACATTTGGGGAGTTTTATTCTTCTTGCCATCAGTTATGTCATAAGCAATCTCCAATGGATCACTGAAATATCTGAGCAGAAAGCACTCCGCATTTTTATCACTATGTTGCAGTTGGAGGCTAAGGCTAAGTATCAGAATACTATTTTCTACTGGCTGCAACTCGACCTATAAATCCAGGGGCTTTGAAGTCCTTAGTTCTACCCTTAATGCTCTCATTACTTCTACCAAGCTAAATAAAAACCATGAGTAATCGATTAAATCATTTCTAAAATAAAATCTCTAGCTAATTAAAAGCAAGTAAACATATACGTTCAAATATCCTGAGAGACATTACTTAATGCTACACTCTACAGTGATCATACAAGAGTACAGCAGAAAGATGACTCTTTTCTGGTTAATATTCCAAGAGAGGATGTGACTACCCAGAGGATGGGAGAAATTTCCTTCGTATTACTGTGAAACCTTGAGGAGTTGTCCTTTTCATGTTGTTTCTGTTTATATTACAAAATGGAGAAAGCACAGCTGTCATAAAAAATAAAACTAAGTGTTTGTTTTGATGTTAGGGAATTTTAACATCAGGGCTGTGCTGGCCTTATACAAACCAGCATTTTAATACAACTGACTAAGCATCTGAAAGATAAGGTGACAAGGAACACAGCACAAGTAATGTAATTTCATTAATGTAATGGGCACAGAAGGCCATTGTAGCATCATGAATTACAGGAACAGTGAAACCTCAATTCTTGTTGCGCTTAGACATGGATAATAACATGATACTTAATGGGAGAGGCCTTCATATTAACCTTGAAGTTCAAGAACTAGTTCTCTGAGCTATCCATTAGTGTTTACTAAATTTGACTGTGTTTCACATGTCTTATTTTCATCTTCCAACTTCTACTCAGTTTTAAAATACAGCAATCTACTGACTCACACATTTCTCAGACTTCTGTTGGAGTGGCTCTCCTTAAATGATGACAATTCAGTAAAAGAACCTCTTTGTACTTTATTTCTATCAAGAGCAATTTAAACATAAAAGTAGAGCTCTCTTTACCTTTCTAACAACAGTAGCATGAAGTGGACCAACAAACTCAATAGATTTTTGTGGTAAATATTGAGGAAGCCGCTCGTACAAATAGACACAAAGCATAAGCATCATAACTGGATTTGGATCAAAGATGTCAGTAGCCTATTTCGGGAAGACAAATAGGGTCCTGTAAGTTCATGCTTTAGATTCATCTAAATATCTAGCAGAATGCCTTCTCCCACCTAGATCTACCCAAATCACTTGCTTTAGCCAGGATGAGTAGCTGAGGGGCTTAATACCGAGGGAGGCCCGGAGAGAATGAACAAGAAATCGGGTCTTCTCGACAGTGGCCCCTCACCTCTGGAACAATCTCCCCCCAGAAATTTATCTGGCTCCGTCGCTGGGTGCTTTTAAGAGCAAACTCAAGACCTGGCTCTTTAGGCAGGCCTTCCCTCTTGTCAATGCCTAATTTATTTATTGCCATCTTCAATTGTATTAATGTTGTTGTTTTATTTTATTTTATTATTAATTGGATTGTTGTTAGCTGCCCAAAGTAGACTTCAGTCTAGATGGGCGAAGTATAAATTAAATTCAAAAAATTTAGAAATTAAATCTATCTAAATATAAGTATAAATATTTACCTATCTATGTACTTAAGTGGTTGCTAACTGGAAGATTTGACCTTGTCATTTTGCCATTTGACTATTGGTTTTTCCATATATAAAACCACTGCAAGAAGACAGGACAGATCCTACATATCAGAACTATAGGTTTCCAAGATCAAAAGACAACTAGCATATAAAATTATACAGTTGAGCAAGGAAGAGTGGTGTTTCTTTTTACTTTCAGTCTATTGTACAAGATCTGAAGACAAAAGAGTTGGGTAGCATGACTTAAATACAAACTATCATATCAATACATTTCTCTTTTACAAAGATTTATCACACTTTTATATAGTAGAAAAACTGGAAGAGACTGCTAAAAAATTCTCAAATTTAATGCCTGTAGTTCTCTACAATATTGATATTGGCAAGTGGGAGGGAGGGAGGGACTTTTTATACAGGAATTCTATCTTTCTCCCCAGATACATTGGGTTATTGACTCTGCTGAATCTGAGTGTTTGTACCTGGTACTGGAAACATGAGACAGGATAGGGTGTCAACATGATTGGCTGACAAGACTACTTAACCAAACTAGCAGAGATGGCATTGTACAGAATGGCACTGAAAACCTCAAGACTAATGGTCCTGGGGTATTGTAAAATTCATTATTTGTGCCAACTCAGAACTTTATGGGCCTGTCTCAAATTCTACAAGGTTTGACATATGGTAGAACATGCGTTAGATTTGATTTTCCATAATGGATGTGGGAGGGATGAAGTCTATGAGTATAGAGGAGCAAGTGTATGATTTCATTTGTCACTGATTGATCATGACCATGATCATGTTTGAGCTTCTGACTGTGGTTGCCTGTAACTTGTGCAACAGGACTGGTTCTTATTCTGGGTCTTACAAACTAATGAATCTAGACAGTTTGATAACACCTCTGGGAACTTTCTTGCAAGCATCCTGACATTCGTGTGAATCGACATGAGCTTTTCAGGAGGGATGGGGTACACTTGTCTGATCTGGGAACGGAGCTATTCCTTCAGGATGTTAAGAGTGGCCTGCGTGTAGTGGTGGATGAGATGGGTGGGCAAGGGACATAGCCTGCTAGTCCCTGTGCCGTGGCAAGTAGTGTGGAAGGAAGTTGGGTTGGTGGGTCCCAGTGGCCCTGGTTTACCCCATCACTTTGTGTCTCACTTCATTCTGGGGTGCGAGGGCAATGGCTGTTCCATTGGCGAGCGCACTTCGGTGGATGGAGCCTCTTTGCCTTCCCCCACCATGATAACACGAGACAAGCACTCTTGCGCTTACAATTCTGGCAGGGAGCGGGAGCGAGCACCTATTTAAAGAAGACCTCCACCCCCTGTTTGGCCTCTTTTGAGGAATTTTTGACCCTCTGCTTGATTGGCTGGAAGTGGTGAGGACTGAAAACTGATTGAAAAGTGAGGCTGTTAAAGGATGGTTGCTAGGTTGGTCACGCTGGTGAGTAGTTTGGAAGGAAGTTGGGTTGGTGAGTCCCAGTGAGAACACAAGTAAGGTTGTAGCTCATCCAAACTCCCAGGGCTGTGGATTGTGAGATTATAGCATGAAGGGGGAGGATGTGCTGGGGCAACGCCCAGACCAAGGGCCACCAATGGAATCAGAGGCTTGAGGCCCAGGGGTCAGAGCATGGCTGGCTGGGGTTGCACTGTCTATAGGACCGGACAAACTAGGGGTGTGGGACTCACCCATTTTCTTGAAAAGAGGTCAGGTGAGACCCAGTTATACCCATTGCGCACTACGGCAGGCCCCCCTCTGTTGAGAATATTAAAAGTATTATATTGATTAATAAAGCATGATAGGTTTACCCCATCACTTTGTATCTCGGCTCATTATTCTGGGGTGAGAGGACAATGTCTTGTTCACTAATAATAACAAGGGGGTGATTCATACCACTGATTGGGTCCAGCTAAACATTTTCAATCAAATCATAGAGTCCTTGATATTCTGAGGAGCAGGAGATGGTGAAACAAGTGGGTTAATATCATGACATATGGCAGAAAGCAGGTAATGAACATGATCAGATAAAAGAAAATTCAAAGAATTATGTGGCAATGGAGAAAAACATTTTATTTTTCCAGCCTTATGTCCACAAAGAAGTGCTTCAGGTAGTGAACAGTGGGGAGCCCACTATAATTAATCTGCACTACATTTTGCCCATAAAATCACTCATATCTTAACTTATTGTGGATTTAATTTTTTTCTTTTTCTACTCACATTTTTCACAGACGAAAACACACAATCTCATTAATTTCTTCTTTTGAAAAGAAAAAGAAAAAAACACCGACCCACCAACGTCCAAATAAGTTAGGTTAAGGCATACAGACAAACTGAATTAAGGAGTAGAATTTAGTCTGTGTTTACTATGAATATGTGACTGAGCTTTCAGTTAGAGGATTCAAGTTCTGCTCCTGCTCCAAGTCACTGGAATTGCATTCAGCCCTCTCTAAAGCTTTAAATTGTTGGAGCAATACAAGCATCTTTACTGACATTGCTGCAATAGGCATTTACTTTGAGCTGTGACCTTGATAAATCAGAGCTTTGGACCAAAAAAAAAGCTTTATCCTATAGTTCAGTTTAGCAGTAATGCTTGGTGACAGACTAAGCTGTACCAAAGCACAACATTTTTACAGAGCTTCTGCTATCAAATTATTTTTAGTTATGAGCTCACCAAGAATTATTGTTCTGTGCCTTAAGAAGAAATACCAAAAATACTTGGAAATAAAAACAGAACATTCTTGTCTCAGGATATGTATGGCTGAATTTCCAGGCAATCACAGAACAAAAAACTGTTTATTTAAATGTCTAGAAAACCACATATAGAAGATGTGAAACTCAAAGCAAACTAAGACCAGTAAATGGGCTTTTGTGGACGTCTTTCAATATCCCATAGAATCTTCTCAACTATTTCTGATCCTTAGGATTCCACTGGCTATTTTTCTAGGACACTAGTCAACATAGGAAGGCCGAGCTATTATTTTTTAAAAAACATACTTTACTGCTAGGATACAAAAGGCAAAAGAGTCTTCAGCTGTTGTTGTTACCATGCCATCAAGTTGTATCTGACTTACAGCAACCCTATGAATGAGAATTTTAACCCAACTGAACTCTAAAACTCAAGCTAGCAGCTTGCTTTAGGTAGCCAATTCATTTCTTCAGGAGATTGCTCATTCATAGGGTCACCATATATGGAAGTGACTTGATGACTTCTTTTTAAATCATCATGCTTCATAAACTAAAAGAAATTCCTTAAACCAGAGAATTCTTGTGGACACCTACACAAGACCCTATCAAGGTCTGAGACTTACTTTTCCCCTTGCAAGTATATTACAACAGGTCTCTAAAGTTTGTTGTACAGTATATCTGTTCCTAGCTCCTTGGAAAAATAACTGGAAAAACTCTGTTGGACCGCTGAAGCTCAACATACAAGTGAGGAGAAGACCAAAGTAATGGATGGGAAAGGCTTTATTATATTCACCTAACTTAAATTTAAATGGTAATTTAACATCAACTTAACTATTAAAAATGTGCACATCCCCTTAAAATTAAAATGTTGGGCTCTGTGGGAACCTTCTCCCCAAGGTCGCTAAGCTGCATTCCTGTTCTAGTGACGAGCACACTCTCCTAGTGGGATGCAGCTGCTTCTGAGGGAGGAGAGGCTACCCATTCTTTCTCTTTCTCATAGAGATAGAGAGCTAACTTCAAAGCCTTTCTTTGGCCAACCCTAATTGGCATTATGTAACCATTATCCTATCTGTATACTATCAACAATTTGTAAGGTTAATAAAAAGGAGCCCTCCTGGGGGTGTTGCCCCTGAGAGGTATTTGTGGAGGACTCCGCTGGCAGACATCTCTGTGTGTGACTGACTTCTTTGCTCTCTCTCTAAAACTAATTGCTTTCTGTATTCGATGATCACCTAAACTACCAGCCTTCTCATTTCATGACCACTACAGGGCTACCAGCTTCCCTATCTCTGCTAAGAATACTTGCCAGCTGAAAGTAACATTTCATACTTTAAGGTAGCCAAGCAGTTCCCCCCCTCCTGAAATTTAATGAGATATCAAGAAAAATTAATCAATTGATCTCCCTATATATACATTCAAAATAGCAAACCAACACATAGTAAATTGAAGAATGAAATTAATCTCATACAACGTTAATAAGACTACTCACCAGGACCTCTATGTCAAGGTTTATTGAATGGAAAGCATTTACAAGGATCAAGGAATTGTGAAAATATTGCTCAGACATTTTTGGAGAAGTATACATACTCACAAAGTGAGTTGAAATCTGCAATGGAGATTTAGAAAATCAAACTCTTAACACGGAAGTAAATAGTTCTTTGACCAGGACTTTGAATCAACTGACAAGCAGACATATATGAAGAATTCCCTAACATGTCTATCTCTTTGCTATTCTTTCTAGAGTTTTATTTATTTATTTATTTATTTTTGGACTTATATACCACCCCATAGTGCTACAAGCACTCTCCGGGTGGTTTATAATTTAATTATAAAGGCTACACATTTCACTCCCGTCACGTTCGTTCGTTCAACTTATATGCCGCCCACTCTACCCAAAGGTCTCCGGGCGGCTCACAATTGAAAAACAATTAAAATACAATAAAAGATAAAAGAGTTCACATTGTTCCACTGAAAAACAGCTACTCTTTGCTCCTGTGACTACTGAAGCTCATCCAGATGACATCTTATCCATGATATAGTTCCATGATTGGCTGCTATATTATAATGTTAGCTTTCTTGGACAAGCCTACTTCTTCAGACCGAGGACTTGTTCACAGAAGCTCACACTGAAATATCACAGTTAGTTTTAAGGTGCCACAATATTTTTGTCCTCTTTAATTTTTTTCCCTTTGTTTTGGACTGATACGCTAGCACAGACTAGCATGGCTATCTCTTCTAAAAGTTCTACAAATCTCTACTTCCTTGGCCCTGTTCTTAACCTTCTGGTTCTCCAGTGTGAAAAAAATCTCTTTCTTTTCTCTGTTAGTTCTGATCTCATGCAGTTGCTTTCTACTGAGTCCCATCAGTGGTTCATCTAGTCTAATATTGCCCTATTTGGCCTGGTAGCTATTCTCCAAGATGGCACAGCAAGGTCATTCCCAGTGATTCCATTGGGTATTTTAACTGCAGATATTGGAGACCATCTACACAAAAATGTTTTTCATCACTGAACTAAAATTCCTTCACACGTTCGTCTGGCCATTCCAATATAACCTCCTCCTGTCCTACAGTTACCTCACATTTTCTCCCCCTCCCCCAAGCTCCACACCTGCAAACAAATCACTTCCAATCATTTCTGTGTTGTTTCATTCTGCCTAGGTTTTTTTACTATCACCTGCTTATTAATCACTCCCGATATTTTTGCCTAGTTTTTTTTACTGTCAATTGCTTATTAATATCCTAAAAAATTATGTGTCACACAATAAAAGTCACTTCCAACAAAAGCTGAAAAATACTCTTACCAAATAAGGGCAATAGCTTGCTAACTGTGCAGCAAGAACAAGCCCATCAAGTAGATCTCTGTCGAAGTTTACAATCCATCTTGTTGGGGGTACATCACCTGTTTGAAAAGAGATTTAAATGTTTCACCCTGCAGAATCTAGGAGCCTGCTCTTATAACATTTCTACATTTATATATCTTTTCCAGAGAATGATATCATGAGTACATTGCTTTGTTTCAAGTATGTTAGGAGTTTGTGATTGTAAGTAATGAAAATTCATTGGATGCCCTTGGGCTATACACATTCTCTCAGCCTGGCTTATCTTTAAGTTTTGTTATTAAACTACATCTTGAAGGAAGAGAGCCTTGTTTGTGATCAAGATTCTCTTACCAAATTATACTAATAAGAAGGATGAACATTCCGTAATGTACAATCACGTCAGATCCTGCTGATAGATATGCAGACTGATATGACACAATCTGCACTTAAGATCAGAAATGTTTAGGTGAGCCTTTAGGCATCAGGTGCCAAAATGTAAGATACTACACTAAAATATTCCTAAACATATCCTCTGATACTAATCTGAATGACAGTACAGAAAAAAGAACAATGGGGAATACATGTTCATATCCTTATACTGTATGTGCCATACTTCATTGAATGTGAAAAGGTTTTACCCTTTTAGTATTATATACTCACTGTTATTAGCTTAAATGCTGCATTTTAATTGTTGCAAGCTGCCTAGCATCCTTTTTAAGGAGAAACATAGGTTGAAAATATTTAAATAAATAAATTATATGTTTACCTTACATTGTGAGATATAGAATATACATTGACACTTTAAGGTTCCGAATACATTTGCAGTTTTGTTTCATGTGTTGAATTATTTGGAGAAACGTTTCTAACAAATGAAATGGATTTGAATTATGAAAATAAAGCAACAAATTGTATTTATCAATGCAGAGCCAAGCTGACGGGTTCTGCTTTCACTTCGGTATATGTACTATCTCAACAACAAATTATTTGCATTCCATATTCATTTGTGAAGAGCAAACCCTTTAATTAGAATTCTCCATATGTCTTAATTGACAATTATGTTACTCATCTTTAATAATTAATGCATCAGCAGTTTGAATATTTACCAAATAGCTTTGCATCAACAACAGACAAGTAAACACGGTTATGAACTAAAATGTAACTCAGTTTCTAAACATAATCTTGGAAATCTTTAAGTAATTAAAGCATTTCAGTTGCACTAAAAGCTTGAGACAACACCAGGGCAATATCAACAATTTAGCATGAGGATTATTTGTGGATGCTTGAAATCTCTGCAAATTGGGGTTGTCATTAACATCCAAGTAGCAGTCATACTTGTGACTTGAAACTGCCATAGGGAAGAAACACTGTGTTTCTTATTTACAGCAGCAGACAAGGCATTCAGATATAAATCTCTTAATGACTTCCACAAATTATGATTGTCTTATATATATTGGATTCATTTACTCTTTAGCTTTGCTGTTGATTTACACTCTATGTGTGTGTGTATCTGTACCTCTTATCTGTTCATGCATATGTATACATACACAGGGGTAAAATTTGTATATTTTAAAAACCAAGTCAATGAAAATTAAAAGTCTATTTGGACTTGCTTCAGTGTTGATTAAACTCTTCAGTTACCAAAGCTGGTGTAGTTTGGCTTAAAATCTGCCAGTTTTAATGTTTTTTTTTAATGTTTGAATTATTTTGCTAACACAAGCACTGAGAGTAGGTGTGCCCTTTGTCCCTTTGTTTCTTGAACAAACCTCTTGCTCTTTCATTAGATCTTTTTCCAGGGTTCATCAGAAAGAAAGGCATAAAATAATTCTAATTAGCTGCTTCCAAAAGCTTCAGTTAACAAGAAGCATGGATGTAATTATTGTGCGCAGGTTGTGAGCTAACAAGACTTCTTGTGAGGTTGTGTGGGTTTTTTTTTAAGGTACTTTACTAACACTGAAAATAACATCTTGTGCTTCACAATTCTTGGACTGAGCCTTGGCAGTTAAAAACACGATTCGTATCTGAATTCTAGCAAAGCATATCAGGGATATCTGGAAAATAGCAACAATGGATTATTTCTTGAAAGCTTCACAGCTTTATTGTTAATAATCTCCCTGGTATCTGATCTGTTAGGAATTATTAACAATGAGTATTAGAAAATTCTGACAAAACTACACACAATATTTTCACTTCAATGCTCTTTGCACTTCTTCAAAGTTGCATAATGCTTTAAAAATGAAAATAAAAAAGTTTCATTTGGAGATTGTTCTTTAAAATGCTGTCCCCAAAAAGATGCAGTGTGTGTGTATGCTCTGTAATAAACAACTTGCTCAATCAGTCTTTTTTAAACTTTTATAGCTGGTTTCACTCATACATCTGATAAAACATAATATTCATATTTTGCTTGTAGATGTTTATCAATATTCAAAAGATCTGATCCCAATCACTTCTTTTTTACAATCCTCACTGCTGTCCACAGAAAGAGGCTCAAGTCAGGTGCTCTTCATTATTTCTTTTGCTGATCACTTAAACACAGAGATGAATAATTAGTGATTGCAGCAAAGAGGTGCAACAGCAATGGGCTTCAATTACTGATGGGCCTTTCTGTTCTGCAGCCTCCAGGATCCTTGTGTAGCTATCAACACTCCCAATTATCCCCCCCCCCAAAAGGCTAACATTAACTATCTGAATTACATGGTTTTCAACATTCATTAATACATATCTGAATTTCTGAATGTCACAAAATTAGCACTGTAACTTATTTTACCGTATATCAACAAAACATGGAATACTGTGATGTGAAGATGGGATGCTGAAAATGTTAGGCAACTCTAAAATATGGTTGCAATTGTTCACTCATCTGAGTTCTCAGACATTTACTAAAATTATTTTGGATTTTACATACTTTTCAGGCAAAATAAAAAATAAAAAATAGAGAGGGCAGAAATATTGTGGCATGTTAGAGACTAACTGCTATGTTTTAATATGAGGATTCACAGATCAAATCCACTTCCTCAAACATAAGACTGAGATTATATCACAGATTTTTATACATGTATACATGACCCCAAAACAAAGAGAATGTTTCCTGGGAACAACTTGCTGACAGTGGAGCATTTCACACCTGGCAATGACCTTTAAGACCCCTGTTGATATTCAGTTCCCCTCCCACATAGCATTGTTCTGTAAACAATTATTGATATTCTAGGACAAACTATCATTGATACTCTACTACAATTTTCAGACATACATTGTAACATGCATTATATTGATATATATATATATACATATTCTAAACCTACTGTATAACTATATGCTAGGCAGACTGTGCATATATATACTCTCTCTTCCAGAAAGATTTAACAAAAAATATTTAACTGCCACATTTACACCACAAAGAGGTTCATAATTTGTGGCAGAAATGTTACTTGGCATTTAAAATTTATCTCCTTTTGACTTCTGAAATGCAAGATTGTGAAGGCATTCTCAAGCCTCCCGTTAGTGATCCAAAACTGCATTTGAAGCATAAGTGAAAGAGAATTATTTAAACAAATTTGTCCAGACATTCTAATTGCCTGGATAAGTGTGTCAGAGCTCCAAAGACTGCCACTGTATGGGGACAAATCTATATGGAAGAAGTAATATATATAGGGCATTTGTTGCAACAAAGTCTATCAGAAGAAATGTCATCAGTGTGGTGGGGAGATTCAGTGCACATAAGATCAAACTTATGACCTGTCACTGAATCTGACTTCTCAATCTCAGCTAGATCAAAAACTGAATTGCATTTTTACACTGATGTTCACATGTATGAAGCAAAAGTATTATTGCATTTTACTTACTAAAAATCAAAGCCATCATATTATTCTGCACTGAAAGACCTTCTGAAAGGATTTCCAAATTTCTGTAATTTTGTTTTTCCTCAACTTGCTCTCACACACTTATCCAGGCAACTTACACAATGATGAAATGTCTATAATTAATAAACTCAAAATAGCAATATCATTGTGATAGTGTCTAATACTGGCAACAAATTTAAATTTGCAGAAAATCAATACTTGAATCAAGATCTAAGTATATTCAGTATATTCAATGGTAGCATGTTTATGGCACTATCAGATTGCCCCAATATATAAAGCTAGTATGGAGTCTTGCTAAAGAATAAGATAATCCTTAATATTTACTACTTAAATAGCCTTATGTAGAGTCCCTACAATGTTTTTTTAAATATATTTTTATTTTATTTATCTAAGAATAGGATAGGGAATATAAAAGGTAAAAGGGAGTGGAAGGAAATGGAAAAGGTTAGGGGGACAGGAGAACACAAAATATACAATCATCCAATCAAGTCATATTACAATAACAAATCCACTTTCAGCTCTCTTTTTTTGGTAATTTAGTTGCCCTCCAGCTATCCACTTACAGCTTTATTTTACTTTAAATCTATGTTACTCCAACACTATCTGAGAACCATAGCCATTTTTATAACAAATCCCTTCAATCTCCTTTTGAATTGGGCAGTTATTAATCACATCTGAAAAAATATCCATTTCTGTCTCATCCCATACTTTCTCAATAGACTCCTCTTGTTTCAGTGACCCTGCTTTCTTCCAATTTTTGGAGGGGGAGAAGGAATCCAAAACAACAATCCAATTTTCAGTATCACATTTTCTGACTGTAGTAATTGAATAAATCACTGGATAGCTCTTTGCCCATCTATGTTGCTTGATATCTTACTCAATAAGGGCTGTTCTGGATTTGATACAGTTTCACTTAACTGTTGTTTAGCATCTCTTTCATCTGATTTTCTAGCTGATTAAAACATTCATTTATTTGCTGAAATCCTGCTATTATTATCTTCTGCATGTTAATCTGCCATTCCTTATCTATTTTTTGTGCCATTCCCAAATTTTGAGCCATTTCAATCTTTCCAATGTGTAGGGTTTATGAAAATATTACTATATCCTTCACAAACCAAACCCATGCTTCCTCCCATCCATACACAGCTGATATCATATGTAAATCAACTTTTAGCCCAGAAATTTAAAATACAACCATGGCAGAATTATCCTTTTTTTTCCTG